TAACTAAGGAAGCGTATCAAAATGGGTACTACTGTGAGGTCTAACGATGTGGAACGGTGTATAGCAGGCTCAATGGCCTTGATGCCATCAAACGGTCCCACTCTTTTAAGCCAAGGAAGGAAGTCGTGGGTTTTTAATCATTCAACATTAGTAGTGCTGACTACTGAGACTCATTTTTCAAGTATATTAATGATCCAGCTGTTGCAAATGCACCCCTGGAGGAACTTTATCGCTTCACCGTCTCATTGTCAAAATTTTCGATTCAGTAGGACTATTGCCAGATACGGCAGCAGCAACGTATGGCGTAAGTTAGTGCCCCTCGTCAACATCCCAACAGACTTAAATTTGTTTTTTTTTACTTCTCTACTTACATCTACTTGGTTTTTGCTGGGAGCTGCATAATCCTATCAACCTTTCTAATCGGAGACTCCTCTAGATCTACCATATAAAGGGGATTGCAAAACCCGGATAAGTCCTAATGCCTAACCTATTTGTATTTCCTATACCATTGGCCACCCAAGACAGGTTTCTGCAATCTCTGATGCAATGATAAAAGCCCCAATAAAAGCACTATTTATCTGATGTGTTTTTGATTAATTACTCAAGTCTCCAAGTAGGCTAATCTAGTCTACATTAGTCCACAAATCTATATATACCTTACCGTCATGCGTTGCTCACTTCTCCAAGTTCGTTGCCAAGAACGCTGTCAGCACTCAAAGTTCAGTTTCTCTCCCTTACCTTCCTTTTTTGTACGGGCTTTTNCTAGATTGATGTCCACTGCCGTTGTGATCATGTTTAAGAAGATGCTAGAATCGAAACTCTGCTCCGGCTCCAGTCCAACCAGATTAACTGACCCTCTCGAGGCACTCTGAATGGTACCAGATGAGAGGAGAGAAATATTGACCTGTTCGTCGACTACCCTCCATGAATTGTTAAATAGAGCACCTACACATCTGAATGTCTATCCTTTCTTATTCCAACTTGATTGGGTGAATGCTACAAAAAACTAGGAATCAAAACTTTGTAAAGCAACTGGCCGACCAAGGGAAAAACAGCTCTTGAAAATCTCCCAGGCTTAGTATCCAGTGTTACAACGCATTCTCAATCCGTTTCATTGCATAAGAACTCTGAGTAATTTCCAGGATCCACTTCAGCTTAATCCAGTAGCCGATGGTGCCTGGTCAGTAGTTGTTCGCTCGATTCTTTTTCAACATTCGCCATTTTGCACCCTCTTGATTTTCGTTCGCAATTATATCCTATTCTTTGAGAGAGCCCATTGTCATAAGTGCAAGACAGAGACACTTCTGCACGGCTAAACTGGCCACGAAACATTGAAATCTTGCGAAGGAATCGTGTGTAGGCAATGAACATCATGAGAAGAATAGCTTGGCAACCGGCTTTCGCTTAATTTCGTTGAGTGCTGAAGAGCGGCCGTTGAAGTGATGAATGGGATTTTCCATCAAACTGATCTATTTTTGTTATGTTATGCCCAATAAGAACAACAGGTCTTCCTGCAACCATGAACGATAAATCACTTTTTGACGCACCTTTTCTCCTTGATACTTGACCACCATACCATGTCCACCGGGTTGCGCCATGCATTAGGCTTCATATCCTAGATAAGGGAGTAACTGAGTATTCGAGGTCTTCACAACTTTAAAGCAATATTGAGCAATATTTTTCATTTTTTAGCAAATTAGGTATTCAAGCTTTTCCCTTTCCAATGGAAAACCGCTATCAGCCGGACTGACTCCGAAAGAACAAATGGAACATTCGTATATCAGACGTGGTCCCATCCATATGGCACATTCGTGAATCAGTGGTCAATTTCAGAAGCCCGTTTCATTCTAGGAAGGAGAGCCATGTTTTTCAAAGAGATTCTGAAAGCCGATCGTTTGCTGAAAACGTCCTTAGCGCTTGCATATCACTCTACGGGTATCGCTATTCGCCGAGAGCTGAGAGAAAACTATGCGATTTGTTCGACGATGGCCCATGAAAGGTTTATAATGAGCTACCCACGGAAACATACTTATTTTTGTGCATCACAGCACTTATTATTATTGTTTTTCTCGCATAGGTAATGCTTACACTAACCCTGGAGACCACATGATCAAGCCACTTGGTCATGAAGTTGAGAAGCTTCCCAACCCCGTGAGGAGCTGAGAAGAAAGACCCCTACTGAATTTCCTCATCCCATTTCGTAGTTATCCTAAATTCTTCACTCTGTTAGAGCAAAACTGGATACAAATTTTCGTCCTCACTAGCGTTGATGTCCCTACTGAGGCGCTCATGGCACGATACGGTTATCTGTTGAACTAAATTTTGATACTTTCTGGTTATTCAGGGTTTCCCTGTGCGACTGACCGGTCCATCGCCGCATGTGGAAGAGGTGTGGCCGTTAGAACGTCGCCTTCCATCGTCTCGTCGCTCTTTCACCCGCACGTGCCCCACCACACACAAATGGTCGACGGCGACCGTCCACGGTTAGCCTACCAAAGCTTAACGCTTTGTCTACTACTCTTCATTAATTTAACAGCTTTGGCTTATTCGGAATGCGAAAAAGGTTAGTCAGCCAGAACGTGGCTTTTCAAAGATTACCTTCTCTCATTTTTATATCCATAAGACTTTCTTGACCTGCCTGACTTTTTCCTTTAAAAAGAAAGTGCCATAGTGTGCTACCGTTGAGGTCTTAGAAGAGTAGTGTGCCGGTCCTTACAGTCCATTTGAGCCGCAAGCTCTCTCCTGCGGTTAAATCTGCACAATACGACGACTTAGGTGTTGGTGTACTACTGACTCCATTAAAGGTTGTGGGATCGAGTTCCGTATTGGAGCCCGATTAGATACAGTAAACCTCCCCACTCATCTCAGGCCTGTGAATTGTTGCAGTATCCTTCTGAGCCACGGTAACGCCACCCACTCACTGACCGACCTGAGTAAGCGAAGTACCAGTTTGAAAACCATTACCATCTTGGAATCGAATCGCAGATGTGGTCATTTTCGAGAAGAACCATTAGATAGTTTACTGGTTTAGGATTCATTCTTACAGTCATCCTTTCGAAGTTTCTAGCATTCCTGTTATATGCGGTCATCCGTTCCCACATATTCCGTCTATTTTCTTGCTTCGCTTTGTTTTCTATTCGGAGCTATACATAATCATTTAACCTCGTGAATAACAGACTCAACTCGCCCTGTCTTCGCTCTTTTACGCCAATCGTCGACCATCCTAAAGTCTTATTCCTACCCCTCGCCTTTCAGTCCCGTCCTTGAACTTTTCACATCGATACGATTCGCGTCATATAATAGTTTTTCCCTGAGCAATTAATTCCATAGTTCGACATGAGATCCGCCTAGATGATGATCATGCGTTCCGTTAAGAAAGTTCGGGAATACTCAAGTGAAAAGGTTTTTTTAGTTGCTAAGTGCCAATCATGTCCTGTAGATGTGACAGAGAGCTGAGTTTACTGCCAGGTTATTAACACCCATACTCCGTACTCATTAGGGTTTGGGTACCGGTTAATATTCATAGCCCACTGAGCTTGCTTGTTCTTCTGTTCATTGCCTTTTCATGGTTCAAAAGTGAAAGGGAAGCTCTAGAGTTACTCATTCCACTTGATCCCGGAACTCGTAGCTACTAAGTAGATTATTTGACACTGTTTCAAAAAGTAGTTCCCTGAATGACTTCATTTTTCTCAGAGAGAGGATTTCTCTTGAGTTCCCGTAGAGTTTTCTATGGAAACTCGACAGAAATCCGAACACCCTGCAGTAATGGAGGATTGGCCAGCCATAAATCCACGAATGTCAATAGTTGGAGGATTCACGATCACCTATGTAAATCCCATCTAACTGTGAATGGGTCGTTCAGGACATTCAATGACGATCATCAATGCGTCCTCATTGTAAGAAACTAGGATCATTGAGGTCGATCCCGTTAAAGACTGCTCAATGTAAAGAGAAATAGCGTAACCTAGTGGGAGTCAAATCGCGGCTTGGCCTCAAAATCGCCATGCCGCTTCCCATATCGAATGAACTGAACTGGACGTATGTAACTCAGAAGTCAAGTCTATGTTGGCCGCTGCAATTATATTTGTCATCCAGATGCCCTGCTTGAAACCGAGTTGGGCGAATTCCACAAATGTTCATATATGCCTTGTCCATAACAAAAAGAGAAAAGAAACAAGTCAGAAAAAAGGATGCACCCCCAAACTAAAATTTAAAAGAGGTTTGTGTATCAACAATAAGGCGGGACTGCTAAGGGAAGTCACGATAGTTTCAAGTTCGAGTGTTGAGAACGTTTGAATGAGTTTTTGACCAATTTTAACCACTAACGAAGCCAAAAAGGCACCGCAAGGGCCATTACTATTTTGAAAGTTGAAAGTTGAATGCGTGGTTCAGTCGTTTTTTCTTCTTTTGTCTCCTTGTTTATTGTTTGGTCCTATGACGTTGCTCACTTTTCGAATAGGTCCCTTTTATAGTTATGACATTCCAGTGCTGCTATGATTCTTGTTATCACTGTTATTATATTATAGCTATTATTACATGACAGCAAGTCAAAAAAATATTTTTATTATTACTATCATTACTACTATTCTTATTATTCTTATTCTTTCTCTTATCATTACTATGTACTACCATTATTACCATTATTATTGTAAGATATGGAAAGGAAGAGGTTCTGAGCCGAACTGTAATTTTAATTCCCCTAAACAACACATTCGCGATCCCCAAGCTCGGCTCTATAAAAATCCTGTTTTCTTCCTCTCGGTTGTGGCATTTTTAATACCCTCGAGCTTTGCATCCAAAATTTTTACCAGCAACATCTTCGGTTCGTTTTGACTCTTTCCTGTCCTGTTGCCTCCCCTTATACCACTCATTACCTTGTCACTATAACCCTATTACCTTAACATTACTTGTTCGATGGCTCAACGACCCGGCAGCAGAATTTTTGCAATATCAAATTGGACTGGAATGAACTGCGCAAGCAAATTGGGCAGTTTACTGCAATGGAACTTCCGGGGCAGTTCGTCTCTCGGCCTCTCAACCTTTGCGATTCAGTCAATTCAATAGACAGAACTCAAAAATTCCGTCCTCTTATTGTTTTGAATCAAACAGGGCGTCCTGGTGATGGTAATTGCGCTAAGAAGCACTCAAATTTGAAGGGTCACTTTTTTGTCTGAATTTTTGTGGCAGTTTGTGGTGCAGTGCCCCTGAGCCGTTCCAGTCTATATGGCTCACTGGATGGATTATTCTTTTCGAATCTGCTCCTATCTGGTAACTAAATACTTATAAATAGAGTAATCTTACGAGAAATTTTTTCAAAGACTAGTGATGCAGCCTTTGAAATTACATCGGATGAAAGGAGGCCATTGCGAGGATAAATGAGCCACCATCTAACTCACTCAGCCGACGACATTTATTTTGTAACTCACTTTTCATAAAATATTACAGTACAACCCGTCATTTTCATATAAGTTCGAGTTCAATTATTCCGGTTAATCGACCTGTTCTGATCCAGTCTTTCTGGGCCATATCAACCGTTTTCATCTTCGAAAACGACTTCTCCCTTTTATCAGGTCGAGAGGGTAGTTCAGAGCGTTATGTTCCACTTTTTAGTGTTTAAAAAGTTTTCGTAGCTAATTGCCGTTAACGAAAAACGGATCTATTCGATGACCAATTCTGAATTTTCCAGCAGAAGAAAACAGACCAGCAAAAATCACCTTCCCTCAGGCCTTGTTTTGTATCAACAGTAGTAGTATTGTTTTAGTACAGCAGTCCCTACTGCAAAGGGATTTCCCAAAATACTGCTTCTCCCTCGTGTTCCATTGTGTTCCACCATACAAAAGGTTATCCTTACACCTGAAAGTTTTATCCTGGAGTTGCTAATGGACCGAATCTTTTTTCTTAGGTTATTCCAAATTGCGCCTAACATTCTTGACACAGATCGTAATGGAATTCATTCCCTTCCCCATGGTCAAGGGGGTATCATCTCGGTGGCTTGCGCAATCTCGTTTTTCCCGATTAGGGACATTCCCATAGCCAATTCTCCCTATCTCTGGACCGACCGGTTTTGATTGATTCATCCAAATAGTTTCTAGCTTGTCAGCTATCACTTACTAGCCGTCATCAACGATAGGGAAATAGCTCGAGACAGATTGGAAAGGGATACGAAAGCTTGAAGAGATGACATTCAATTCAGGAAGCGGGGGAGAAAACGTCCTCGTAAAGTTGGACAGGAATTATCCATCGATCATATAAGGTCTCACATAAATATTCGTAGTTATTCAGCTCCGTCCAAAACTTGATTTGCTTCGGATTAAAGTGAAAGTTAGCACGAATTGCTGAAACTGAGCGAACGTTGGTGAGTATGTATCTTAAAAAGTCAATGGTTAAGTTCCTAGCAACTAGTTGTCCAAACTTGTCATCCCACCTACTCGAAAGCACCCACTGACCCATCTATTCGCGAATAGTACATATCTTTCCCAACCCCGCTCAAATGAGCTCAGCATACACAACGTTCACAACTATTTGGAATGGAAATCGAGGGCATGGCGCATCACGAAGAGATCCAATCGTTTGTTCTTTTTTTCTCTTTTTACTGATTCTGACAGCTATTTTACTGACTATTTTTCTTATTAATTCAAGACTTCCCTTACTGTTTACGAGTTTCTTAAAATCGGGATTTTTCGTAAAGAAACCGTACTAGCAATCCTTAGGACCTCTTTATTCCTGTTCCGGTTTTTTAGCTCAGTGTCCTATAAGAACAAGTTCACCAAAGGATTATGCTGCATTTCTGTCGAATTGAATCTACTAATTCGACGTCAATCGAGGGTGGCGAGTCCAACGAATCTTACGGGGAACGCTCGCCTCAACCGGTAGTTGAAACTGGTCTCACACACTACTTCTTCAAGACCGCTTTCCTCAAAGAAAAGACTTTCTAGGAGATTGAATTCAGATTCATTTCTGTAGAGCTTTTATTGTGATTTTCAGAGATTAACGAAGATATTTGCCCACAAAACGAAGGCTTTGATAAGGATTGTGAAGAACGTTGCCAACAAGAATATCCTCATCGATTGTCCAGTGGCTGTTTTCTAAGAAGCACAGGTAATATCGTTCCAGTGCTTGCAAAGAGTAGCTGAGTGATTTGCTGAATTTCGCACTGATTTCGCTCACAAGCTGATATTTCCGGCCTGAGAACCGCTTGATGGGCATGGGGTGTTGCGCCCGATCCACTCACACACCATGCTGCGATTCCTATCCAATAGCCTCGCTCGGTGCCATTTATTTGTTGGTTCCACTGGCTAGTTGCCTCGCAACATATGACTCCAGATTGGGCGATACGGGTTCAAACCGCGGTTATACTAGGGTAACGAGGGTTCTCATCAGCTTCATTTGAGATACTGCTACGGTAAAGAAGGAGCAGCAATTGATGAGAATGACAGGCCGTAAGGGAAGAAGGAAACATGAGGGAATTTTGATATCTTATACTTTGCACCTGAGCATGACTAAATCCACAGTTATTAAACAGGTTCCCGTCTAGGGTTCGTTTCGGCCTCCTACCGTTAATGAGGCAAATTCTGGTATGCACTGCATTTGTCTTCTAAGGAAAATTAAGTGCCAAGTATGTCTCATGAAAAATGGGCGTCTTTCTATGGAATGCTGTGAGAAGGAGGGCAAGTAGGAGAGGACCCTGGTGGGGCAGAAGGTTGACTTCAAAAAAGCTTGAATGTCTGTGCTTGAAAGAGTGAAGACGATGACCTTTTACCACCAGTTTACCTATTATACTTCAAATGGTTACCGCTGAACGTTTCCTCCTTTTTGCTAACGATATTGCCTATTCAGTCAGAGCGGACACTCCCGAGATTTTTTTCCCAGAGTTACGGTCACATTCCTCTAACTACTAGTTTTTTTCAGGCACACTACTATCATTTTTCGGAATCAAATCGTTCATTTGTAAATGTCGTGTACCCGAACAATTCTGCATACCCGGAAGCACGAATCTGCCAAATCTTCGGTATAAAGGACACTGATTCTTCTGCTTATACCTCATGTTTTATTTTGTTTTTTTTTTCTGCTGAATATTGTAATGAAAAGGGAAAACGAATAAAGGTTGAAGGGGTTGAAGGGAGACGTCACTGAAACAACTGGATGGAAATACCATGGTTCTGATCTCACCTTTGCACTATACATTCCTACCGAAATGTATTCAGGCGATCGTTTTCCATTCAAGACCTCGCTGGCCATTCAACGTTGGTACCATTGATGGCAAATGCTGTCTGTGCAAAGGTTCGTTGTCATAAATTGAACGTGTCACTTCTCTTTATTCACTATTTGCCATATTACTTTTTATTTGTTTTATTTATTCATTTTTCTGGTTCTTGCCTGTTTACTACATAAGCAACCCGGCCTACATGCTTAAATGTTAGCTAGAGATGAGAGATGTGAAAGAAGCATGGCTCATTGATTGCTAGGACACAACCGCTAGAGGTGGTGCTTGATGATGGGACCGGAGGATGGTCAATGGAGATGTGATGGACCAAGAGGACCCTGGCAGCTATTTCACTGGTTGCGTTGGTTTAGCCTAGGCCTGGCACTTCATACTGTTGTGTGGCATAGACGGAATAGTCGATTTGCATGAACTAAAAAGGCCCACAAGCGGAACTAGTGACTTCCCCAGGACCAATTCGATTATAATCCATTGTCAGAAGCAGTATTTTGATTTTCTGTACTTGCTAAATAGGTAGAAGTTTCAGCCAACGGTTGCTTCGTTTTCGTGTCGCGATGAATTCGGCCAATATGCATGTGCATGGCAACGATCGTACGGTGGTGATTGGTACGTAGCCGAACCACATTCACCGATGCCATTCGCTCCTGGTGAAGCACCGAGTATGTTATACGTGTTACTGTATTCTCGTAGGAATAGTAATCTTTCTAAAAAATCTCTTCGGTGACATGATAGAATGGAATACTCTAATCGAATTCGGGAAGAAACAAGAGGTATAGAAGCTGGGAATGCTCCCTCGAAATCAAGCGATTGCTTAGGTTTGTCCCCTGGCGTAAGAGTCAAGCTCGCCCTTTATTGCTGTAAGAGGGGTCTTACTGATCAAACTACAATCTCAGAAGAAGTAAAATCCATTAGGCATTCAACGTAAGGCTCCGGTTTTTGTATTCTCCTGGTTTTTCTTCCTTGCAGAACACTGTTAATATAACAAAAAGCAGATTCGATTGTGCAGACTGCAGTAACCCTTTTTCAGTTCGCCGGTATCTTGTAGGTGTGGCGAAAGGTGGCCATGGAGTATTACAACTCGACACTTGTCCAGGTAAAGTTCTTACCGGAAGTATTGTTGTTCAAATGATTTTAACGAGCTTTTCGCTCCCTTTTCAGTTTGATTTCTCATCGATTCATTTTTCAAATTGTGAGCCTTTCTTCTTGCCCATTTGTGGGATATGTTCCTCGATAGCATGTTTTGAGAAATTGGAATCCAAAACAGAAAGTGGATTTGCTAGGCCATTGGTCAAAGAGGCCAGTGAGACAAAAACAAAATTGAATCTTTCACTGCACCAAAAACGAAGTCGCAGTGAAAATCTATCATTGTACGCAATGAAGATGGTAGAGGATCGGAAGACTCTCCCTAGGCTCATACAAAGTGATGATCTCGCACTTTGCTTGGCTGTCAACTTCTCTTACCTTAACTAGTATCGTAGGAGAGTTAGGCCATGTACTAATGGACAGGTATTGCAAATTGTCCCATTACAACTCGTCGCCCTTGGAACTCTGCCCATCGGCGTGAGGTGGTCCTCGAAGAGTTTGTCGAAAGAACGGCCGCTTCAATAGCAATTTTTTTAAACGAGTGGGAAAATTACCGTTTCCAAAAACAGGGTAATTAGGTTTTAGAAGGAGCATGGTTTTTCCCCCTTCTTTTTCGGCAATGGTTACAGTGCTGAAATGTGAAAAAGAGGGTTTCGGAGAATGATATGAGAAAGTCGTGAGTATACGGTATCGATTACTATCGATTGATCACATCCTTGCCCAAAGAACGAATGTTGATTGATTGGAAGAATAAATGGACATTCAAAAAGACGTTTCTCATTTCATATTCCATTTTTCATCCTGTTATCTTTTACTAGTTATTCAGAGCTGTGTTCAATGGATTCGGTAAACGTGACGGCGAAGATATGGAGAGGGCCATATGTGGGCGCTGAGCTCTGTTTCAGGTTAGACAGCTTTAGACTAGAAGTTGCCTATCCATGCGCAAGCCTCTTTTGGTATAACAAGGGAAGCGAACTATAATCATTCAGCAAAAGCTGGTTAGGAATTGTAAATGAACAGTCCCAGTGGAGCATGTAAAACCCAACTTTTGGCAGCTCCTATTTCAATTTGATGAACTCTTAACAGATTTCTTTTCAAGGTATTTGAAAGTAGCAAAAGTTCAATATTCCAGAGAAGAAGACGCCATTTTATGTGCACCGCTTCGTATTTCAAATGGTCGAGCTATGAACGAGGTCATCCCTCAGACATCACACTTCCAGGCAAGTCTCGAAATTTAGGCTACTGCGTAAACTTGATGAGAAACGAGGGACATCTCCAGAGCACCAGAGGTCACCATTCCGATGTAGTCAAAGCTTTACGATCGGTACCGAGCCGAAACTACCTTACCGAGCGATGCACTGCTACGCTATTCTCTATCCTATAGATCTGCCAATTCTGGCTCACTATTCAGTTCATGCTGTACCTAAAGGCAGAGTCACTCGAACTGTCCAGTACACTGATGATTCTTTCCCAGTACTCTACAGAAACAGTAAATCTACCACTGCAGAGGTTTGGGTAACTTTCCCTCATACATCAATGAGAACATGGTCTTCTTTCACCGTGTTACCCTTTCCCAAGGGCATCAGTCAATCCTATTCCTAACCCTTAGATCTAACTTCAGAACGAAAATATGCATCAATATTCTCTATGAATTTCCAGGACGCTTTCAGATTTCCGTTAAATTCACGAACGTGTCCGATGGCGATGTGGTACTGGTCGACGATCTTTCTGCAAAATTCACTGAGTGCCCAGTTTCAACCGCTCCCAAGGACCTCTCGTCCGATAATCTACAGCATATATCGAAAGATACACCAAAATCGGTCGAGGTGAACTTTTGAAGTCAACGTTAAGTCCACCGTTACGAAGCGTCATTGCCAGTAATTGAATAATGTGACATCACGCCGTATGGAACCTTCTGACTTTGCGCTTCCACACTTTTTCAATATCTTCTTCAGATTCCGTATGCGGTGGATAAATCCGAAGCAATCTTGTCTCCAACGGGGACTTCGATCAAAAAGTCATTTGAGCTACAACTTGGTGCCCATAGCAATGAAAAAGACAGCAAGTACATCCTTCACGACAGAGCTGCATTGAAAAAGAGACTTTGTAGAGAAGGTAGGTCAATGAAGATAAATGTAGCAAAGAGTAAAGTTTTGGCGAAAATTCCAATTCCGTTTTGGAATGCGCCCCGGATTCGACTTCGCTCAGCATTGCAACGGTGTTTAGGATGGGCATGTAGCTTGTACGACGGCCTGCGCAGGCTCGCAAATGTTCAAGTCTTTGATTTTGTCTTTCCAAGCCATTCTACAGTAATTAACCGACCCTCGAAGGATGGAAGGCCTGGTTAACTTGATCGAATATTGATACGATTCGATCCCGGACCATGAGAGTATGACACTGTGCAATTGCCACTACACTGCATCTGCCCTAACAAGACGAGGTGGGGCTATAAAATGCATGAGGAGACAGAAGAGGCATGAGAATGTGAACATTACTTAGAGTTTTGGGAAAGGAGGGAGGTCCGGACTGCGAACTTTTGACTTTGAAACCATTGGAACTCATTCGCTAGTATCAAGCATGATCCTATGCAGCTTGGGCAGTAAAGGAGAAAAGTACCCGAAACTAAATACATCAGTCGGCCACCACTATGAAAAATGGAAAATCATTGGAAGTCTGCCGAGACGTTAAGTTTCCAATTACGAGAATAATGTTATTAGGGCATAATTTGATTAGTTTCTGTTGGTTTAGGTGAATGCACAACGATCGTGCATCGCTCGGTTCCGTTACCGTATGATCAGATCTGTATCGGACGACTCGGATTACTACAATGTCGCCAAAAATGTTATAACGATGGGACCGATGGGTTAGTCTGCCCCCACCCTCCTTAGTTCGTCATTGATTTGTGTGCATCGTATTGATTTTATAGAAAAACAGCACGATGTGTCCGTCAACGTGAATATCCGTTTAACAAAAGGTGCCTCTGTCAACTGAGACGGTCGCCGTCCCGCCGAGTAGACGGCGGCAATCGGCCGCCCTCAACGAAACATCGCAAAGAAAGAAAACAACACTCACTCGCACGACACAACATAACGGCGGATCATATTCGGCCACGTGCCACATCAGCACAAAACCAGCAGGATGAAGTTTCACGGAATGAGGTGACTGAGGAGCTGAATATCTGTGCACGATTGGATGGTGATGAAGTGTGCGATAGGAGTTGCAAAAAGGGCAGCAACAACAGGTTGGTTATAGATACATTAAGGTAGTCTACATGAGAGACGGGCAGTAGGATTAATTGTATAATCGATCCCCCGCACGCGGCTGTCGCGAACCATTTGCCTCATTATAACAGTTCTAGCGTTCCTCATACAGCTCAATCGCTATGCGCTTACTACTTTTGGCATGACTCTACTAATAGTTCTTTCGTTCCTGTATTTCCTACTTGCTGCTGCATTCTGCTACATTCCTTCGCGCGCGACGTCTCTCTCGCCGCGACGCGGCAATTTCTTTCCTACTGCGCCACACCCAGTCTACATGACTTCCGCTGGTGAATACTCCTTTCGATTTTGAACTTTTCGAGCGGTTTCGACAATACTCAGCGAGTCAGCAATCTTCACATACATTCAATTCGATAACATATAAAATACATATAAACTTCAAGTACCCGCGTGGAAGGAGTTTCCCATTATTAGTCTCCTCAAACAAAAGGTCGGGCCGCTTCGAAAGTGCATTGAATTGATCTCAAATCTTCTTTAAAAGTTCGCAAAGCTAGAAAACAACACAATTCAGCTCTGGACGATGTCAAGCTGCCGGTGACCAGATCACGTGCAGATGTTCGTATTGTCTTACAAGTTTATGTGATTTCGAGAAGGATCACGAGTGCGGGTGGGTAATTCGCCTACTAGCCGGTTATCGAAGAGAATTTAATTTCTGTTTCTTTGTAGATGGATCGATATGCACACTGTTGACAAGAACTACGGTAATTTCAGTATAGCGTCAAAGCAAAACCAAAGTTAGTCATTTGAACATAATTGCTTTCCTTACCTTGTTTGTCTCTTGTTTTGTGATTATTGTGATTACCAACTCCACAAACAGCTGGTTACCCCCCCTCCCCCCCACTTGAACAGAATTTTCTCGGCNCCCCCCCCCCCCCCCCACTTGAACAGAATTTTCTCGGCATTATTTCTGATTTCAAAAACAGAGAGAGTCTCGCACTGGTTAAAAGCATCTATCGACGAAAGAAAATGGTCAACTAGTGAAGATTACTGAATATCGAAGCATAGAGTTCGCTTATATTAGTCTTCTTTAGACACTCCACTAACCCGTCTTTTCCAAATTCCCGAGTGGACCGCTGAGCAATTTCATGCAGTAATCCACAAGTATAAGCCAATAGCTCACCATTGGGTCGCTTTTATAGATATTCTATCAGTAAAATGATCCTCGAACCATTCAAAGACTTGACGGTCTGAGTAGCAACCGATCCTACGTACAAGATCAACTAAAGAGCTAGACTAGGAGGCTATTTGCTAGCTCTTCTCGACCCATTGTATGAGTAAAAAGGGATGGTGGTACCTCTTCTCGAATTCCTACTGCAAGCGGCATTGGTTCCGCAAATGTTACCGTGTGCTTCCACTGGTAATTCAAACCTTTCCCTTAATAGCGCGCAACCAGCTGCGGCGAGCGCGACGCGATTTTCGGGAAAAAGTACCCACACTCAGTAGAAGGTTTCAACTTTACCGCAGTTTCAGGCGCAACCCAAAATGTGCCGTATTCCAAAAACAAGTGTACCAAGTTGTTGATCAGCTTTATTATTGTGAAAGTTCGCTACAATTCTGCACCCACCTCCCTTCAAATTCACCACCCATCCAACCACAGATCTCGTTAAAATCAAACAATTCCAGCTAATCGCTACGGAATATCGCAATTGGATGGTGGCGGTTATTCTGGTCTCTTCCGGCGAGGCCCATTTAGAGGTCCAATAGCATTGTCTTTGGATGTTTACCCTACTGAAGGTATCGATGTACGAATCTGTGTTGAGGATATCCAACGGTGAGTCGAAAATTCGAACTAACATCTGTGAACGAATATTTCATCTGTGGAACCTCATTCGATTTGATCGATTCCAGATGCCAAATACAAAAGGTTGAACCCAAAGCTTGGAACCGGGTTAGGGCGAGGATAAGGGTCAAGCAAGTCGACAGGGTGAGATTTTGAGCTATCCTTGGTAAATAGTATATGAATCAATTCCTCAGATTTCTTCAGAGTAGGAGCTAGCAGACTGCCTGAGCTTGAAATAGCTCATTTTTCAGATATTCCTCCTTTTCTACAACTCAGCCAATGAAAGTCGAACGATGGCCATGGACAATGTATCGCTGAAAAGCGGAAAATGTGCTAATGTCTAGCTATTTATGTTATCACCCTAGAGTTTTATAGTAGGGAAACCATTTATTTTTTTCCTAGTCGTATAGATTTTCAATTTGGATTTGCTCTAAGCTATTGAATTTATACTGAATCGCTTTTTCCGATTAATTCCACCAATCTTTCGTCTGAGTCTTTCATCCTGTTATCTTTCACATATGATCCTTAACATTTCTCAATCACGCGGGCTTTCTTCATAATCCTTTTGTGATATCGCTATACGATTTCATTGCAATCAGGTGCTTTTGTAAAGATTGCGAATTTCTTATGCAAAATTAATTATAATAAAGAATTACGTATATTTGTACACTACAAGAGCAACCATTCCAATATAGCACCTAAGCCTTGGGTTGTCCCACAAATTAGGTAAATGCACTATGGAATAAATTCAAATCAACTGTTCCTTTTACGTATTCATCTAAACTCGGCCTACCCATATACAACTTACAATAATGATAAACAATTCAATCGATCGAGTAACCACTTCTGTACTGGGTCAACTATTTCAAAATTGTCAAATTTATTACAGCAGTCCACCCTTCTGAGGAGCCTTTCACCTTCAATTTCTCTGGAGCAAGTCGATTTGGCCATGCTCTCTCCCAACGAACGGCCTTCCTTCTGCGCAGACCATTAAAGCGCACAGAATTTCCTTTCTTATAACTGTGAACAAATCTAATTTTTCTCAAGAAAATGATATGGGCTAGATCAACCCGGACAGGATATTCTGTGCCCATGGACTCAACTTGAGGTGAGCGTCAGAGACTTAGAGAATTGGGAATAAACCGTTCCAAGACCAGTCAAATTTTTTTTGCTCATATGAGACCTAGCTTCTATACTTGCATCAAAGCAGCGCACGAAGCTACACAAAAACCTTTCATTCGTTTATACACAAACATCATTATTGTCATTCATAGGACCTACATATGTCTTAAATCGAGTCGCTTCGAAAAGTAGTGGCTGCCAACAGCAAGGCAAGAGGTGACTGAATGGAGAAATATGCTAAGTCGTCTAGACGATAGTTTGATATTTAACACGTAATTATCTACAAATCTTTTAAAAAACGAAATTAAGAGAATATAAGGAAGCGCAAAAAAAAACAACATAAATGGGACTAAGATTATCTGCCAAAATCTACCCGATAATATCATCACTTCAAGCCTGGATTATGCAATTTCAGCGGACAGAAGAATAGAGCCGCAGTAGACATCACAAGTGATGTTGAGCTGAAAACAAAGTGTACTGTTCAACTTACATGCGTCGCAACCTCAGAAGGTGAGAAAAATGTGCATAAACTTTATCTAAATAGGATAATCTATGTCGAGATCACACTTCATTTTTCTTCCATTGGCCTTAACACTTGCGTACAAGGATATCATGACATATAAGCCTTGAGGAAATTGTCGGATTACTGTACGGATGAAACAATCGTGGGAACGACGCTGAATAGCGTCTAATGGCTGCTTTCAGAGTACGCTGGCCGGTCAGCGGCGGCGCTAGCCACTTGTTGAAAACAGTGGACGCCGATGGATCACATGCCACTGTTGAACAAGTCGCTCGCGTCGCCGCCGGCAGGTGGACTCTGAAGCAGCCAGTCGGTTGTTCCGTAAGCAATAGGTGAAAAAAAGTTGCCGATCTAGCTCCTAATGGGACTGCCTCCAAATGTGAACGCCGTATTCATGATCACGTAATCATGCATATCCCAATGATAGAGTTTGATCAAAAGAAACTTTTGTTCCCATTTCTATAAAACAAATAAAAAAATGACAAATAAAAAAAATTAAGAAAAAATGTAAGTCACACCGAAAATGGAACAGAGATGCTGAAAAGAGAAGGATTGTTCTACCAGTAACTCACCAAAGTCCCGACATTCACCGAGATCGGTTCCCTGAATATGAAGAATGTTCCGCGATCTTGTCGCGTTGAGTAATATTGATCCAACTGCCACCAGTACAAAACACCCTCTACTAGGCCTGCGGACGTACATTTCACCTAAAACAACTTTTAACTCTCAAATAGTCAGTGTCTTCGGAACGAAATGAACCTCAATCTTCTTCGAGAGCAACTCCGTATCCTCTTCCCCGAGATGAAGAAAGCGAAACTCGTTAGAACAAATTTGGTGTTCGAAAGTTGCTGGAAAATGTTAGACAATAGTATACCCTGAATTTCATAACTTAAAAAACTTACATATTTCTATATCCCTATATTCGAGTAGATTGTACATTCGAATCGGAGACAAATCAGCACCGCAGAGAGAATCTTCTCGGACACGAGTAAGTTTTGACAAACGTTCCGATGAAACAAGTACTCCATGCGCAGAAAGACGGTCTGTAAGGATATTTCGGAAACGTCCTTCGAGCCGTGCGGAAAACGGTTTTGCAGCAAATTTCAGAATGGCCTACGAACTCTCACTTGGGAGAGAGAACACCTTTCAAATCCATGTTGTTATAAAGGGCATGCAATTTAACAAACCTGTGAGAAAGCCACAATGTTTCAGTGAAAGAGGAATATCATTCCTTGCTCGTAAAGTCCGTAGCAAATTCAGAAACACTTCGCTGACTGAGCCATCGCCTCGTATTGGCCACACAACCACACACTGATCAGCTAGAAGCATCATCAGTGAAAAATGAGTCAGATCTAACATAAGGGCAGGATCGATCTCAAAGGGGCCTAACAATCCTCTTACCATAGCCTTCGTCCACTTCGCTTTCGACTGCTCCGTGAATATCTTTTGAGTCTATCAAAAAATGGGGCAGGTATCTAGATGAAAGATAGTTGACTGTGTTGTTAAGGTGGACGTTTTTTCAGCTGACCTTACAATTCCGAGTTCCTCGGCGCTGAGCTCTCCATCTAGATTCCAAGAATACCTGCTGACAGACGGTAGCATTCGAGTAATCGCAAAAAGCAGCATATCGTTATTCATAGTACGGTAGTCAAGTTGGCTTCGAGGTATTAACTCGCGGCTGGGAATCAGCTGAACAACAAAAAGATAGCTAGATTCCGAGAATGCATGAGGAGGTTACAAGGAAGTTCAACTCAGTTCAGTCGACTCCTATTATTACGAGTATATCACTTTACATTAGGCGAAAACTTATGTGACTGCTCTGACCTCTTCGGAATTCTGGATCAAATCCACTGAAATGTCGAGTCTAGTCCTTTTCAGTGTCCAGTTCAAAACTACGACATCACCTTCGTTGACCTAAAAATATGTGAAACTGAAGAAGATAACAATACAGGAGATGAACTGAAATGGTTTCAAGCCATCTGGAATGGATGTCTAACAAACACTCACACGCATCGGGTATGGTAGAGGGAATATCCCTTGTTCCCAACATGTACTTTTAGAAGTATCTATATACTGATCTCCCCATATAAGCGCCCTAAAAAATAACGAGTCCATCAAAGCAAGCTCTTTTTTTTCAAAATTTCATCCATAACCACAAATTGAACATCAAAAACTATCCCATTAGCGTTATTACACCAAGGACGACCGTCTTCTCTGAACTGACTTACTTGAAATGGACTGCAACAGCGTGAAGTGTTCCTGAGCAATTTGTTGAAATCTGAAAGGCAAGTAAGATCATAAAGCGAAAGTTGAAGTGAAAGAATGGAGAAGATTTCTAAGCCACTTGAAAAGTTACTATGAAAACCACTTTTGCCGATTTATTTAGCATTGTATTTTCAATATGAATAACCCCACCTTTATAACCCCGGATTGTCCAAATACATATCGATGAAGCTCATTTATGTTTTGAAAGTCTACTCCCAGCAATCGATGGGGAGTCGAGAGATGTTTTGCATCAGCCAAATCTGAGACCCGTATACACCAATATGGCTCAGATGGCTCTAAACACAAAAAATACATCATCGAATAGTAGAGGAATAGTAATTGTAAAAAATAAATCACCAATCTGATCCCCGCTCAGCTAGGCGAAGAAAAGTTTAGTACTGACCGCAGTCGTGCTCTAGGGGAAAAGGTTACGAATTACCAGCGCGTTGTTACTTTCCATCCGTGACTGCGGCTCAAAAATGGACTTCGTGGCCTGTTTTTTTTTTTGAGATCATTTGCGAATTTTCATTTTTTGTCTTTTAATCATGAGCTCACTTGTGTCCACGAATCTCTTCGCGGAGCTTTTGCAGACTAGGCGTAAAGCCGACAACAGTGAAGATGCTAATGAAATTCTTTTTCAAAATATCGCTTTTTTTTTGAATTTTTTGAAGTATATGGAACTCAAAATACTTGAAATAAAAGATTTTCTGGGGCTAAGCAGTATACGGTTGACGATTCCAGAAAAAACGAGAAAATGCAAACACAGCTAACAGCTGAATTGGATTAAAAATTCAACTGTTATCCCATGGGAACCAAGCGGTCCCACTTGTGAACTACATTGTCGTTTATGTGTCATGAACATACGCTGTTGAATGCGAATTGATATTTGGAAAAGGGTTGAACACGCAAATGGAGCATGAGCAGAAATACGAAAAATGCAGAACATCTTTAAAATGGATGGGACAGAAACAACAATAATAAAAATACATCCGTACAACTATGAGTAAACGGACTTCAAGTAACTGGGTCTTGTACAGTGAAAGAGAAATGCCAACGCAGATACTGCGCTACTCACTTTGTCCATTGCATGGCACATACTCAGACCGGTACTCCTTGCCAGACGGGGACGTAAAGGAATGGCTGAGGTAAATTGAAGGCGACTCTAACAACGTCGCAAACAAAGTGACCTGTTAATATGGATTAATCTAAAAGGCTGTTCATAACCGAGAAATGTGAATAAATCTCTCACATTTGAAGGTATGAAACGGGCTGTATTAGTAGCAAGCCTGAGATGAGCATCAAGGAAAGCTGGAATCACTCCTTCACCGAAAGCACAACAATCAAGTATCTCCGATACAACTACATCTGCCTAGAAAGTATACGTTATGTTAGGTATACTGCAAGGTCAGGATTACTTACCAAGTCGTCCTCTTCTGGATCGTATTCGTATGAATACTCTTGAACTACTTTAACATTTCCCACACCGTTCAATGCAAGAATCCTTTTCGCCATCTGGTAAAGTGTTGGGTTTGCCTCAATTGCCGTTATCTTCGATGCTCCACATCTAAAATTAGGAGGAAATACTTTGGAGGAATACTAGGAAATACTTAAATACGAAATATAAAGTAAGACCTAAAGCAGATGCTATCCCATGAATTCGATCAAAAAGATAGGCTGAATTTACAAAGGAAAAAAAACTATCACAGCGAAAACCACGAATTTTAATTAACCGGCACCGCAAACGTTGAAAGTCGGAATACTGATAGCTGCAAAATCAAGCATAACAGACCTAGCAGCATAGATACTCAATATCCCAGTTCCAGTGCCAATGTCTAAGACATGATCGTTCGGAGAGATCGTATTCTTCAGAGCATCGAAAAACATGGAGTTTCTTTCCTGAACTGGCCAGCTAACAAGCAAACATCACAACGAGAAGAATATCGTGTGACCAAATTCTTGCCTGATCATTGATCATGAACATGTGCCATTGGTCGAAGACACCACTTCTCATATTAGCTGAGGAGACACGAAATACTGCTCCCATTAACTGATCGCATTCTGCGTTGATAGCCGCATTTAGATTATCGTATGAGCAGACGCCGGTCTCGCCACTGTCTGGATACAGGCTAATCACATTGAAAAACAATCTCGGGTTTGAAAATGTGACATAAAGATTCGGATGTTCATTAACCATGTCCCCTCAACTGCACAGGCCTTCAATGGAACAGCTCTTCAAACACTCAGCAAAGGCCTGAAACTTGAAGAGGGCTCATGCCAACTGCGCAAAAGGAACGAGTACATTCGGTGATTTCGAACGGTTTAACTTTAAGTTTCCAGCCACACAATCACATACACTCAATCACTAAAAAAGGTACAGATTTCTCATTACAATATCGAGGCTCTCCACCTATATCTTCCCACTTTTTCTCTCGCAGAATGGCTCAACAAGTCTTGAAGAATTCATAAGACCTCCAAGGAAACGACTAACTGTAAGACTGTTAACCAAGTAAAAGGAAGGGCTAGCTGTTGAATCGAAAACTTACAAATTGAAACTAGAGGGAGGGTGAGGCTACAAATGGTGAAAATGGATCAAAAAGAACCGAAAATTCGAAAAGGAGTTAGCTTACCCTCTAAGAACAAGGCACTTCCAGATACGTGTTCTGAAAGTAGTGTTACTATCGGTACGCACTTCGGGAACAAATTTAGAATCGGCGCGAACAAAGCGCTGAGGCATGAGTCGGCATTTCGTGAATAGCACATCCAGCTCTCAAGAACTTTACGGAACTCGTCAGCAAACTCGATTTCACGTTGTTCAACATCCTGTAAATGTAGGGTGAAGAGGAACTGTGCACAGATTCAGGCCGAGATCACCTTAAAACTTGCCTGATAAGTATAAAGTACAGTAAGATAATGCCGAATGGACCGATCCCACCAGCCTTCAGCGGCATACTTTCTGGCCAAGTATAGCGAGTATTTCATGATGGCGTCACAACAGGTACCTCCGAGAAATCAAGGTGGCAAGACCCATCTGTGGTATTTCAAAAAACAGTAAGTTGATAAAACTCGTACAGAAGAAATGCAAGCGACAGAATGTCACCAACGTTTGAACAAATGGGAAGGTGTGGCCTAAATCAAATAGCCGTGAAAATTCTTATTGGGGAATATTAACGGGTTACACAAAACAATGAATCAGTGTGTTGTTTTTGTGTTCTACAAGATTGAAACAACAATACATAAATTTTGAGAGAACCCCGAAAAAAAAAACACACACTGAGCCAAAAACATCTTCCCTGTACGCTGTCTTTGAGAGGACACAGAATGTAAGCAGAAGTCAGACCTTTATGAATTTCTCCCCCTCACCATGTAAACAGGCAGAAACGGCAAGAGCTGAGAAAGCGGACTAGGAGCACGTTGTGGCTTCTATGAAATAAATTATCACGAACGATAATATTATGACAAAGTATTAAGAACTAAAATGGGGAACAAATCAAAGAAGTAGTTCAACTTCCGTTTCGCACGTGCCCTAGACGGACTTCTATGAACTTGATATTGTCATCGCTCGGATCTATGTGGTTATAACATAAACTACATTATCAGCAATCTACCGATTCTGCACCTTTGAGTTAGGAGAATTTGCTAGAACAAGCCTACAATTAGTGTTCTGACCAAAAAGCATACGCCTGTTCTTTATTTTGCGCACACTCACACAACTGCCCTAGCACAATGCATTGATGTAATGAGGTTAACGTGAATTCGGTTATTATTTTAGATGTGTGAATATTATTTTATGTGAATTATTGAATAATCATCATGAACATACGGATTTCATGTGATCCTGGAAATGACAAGACGCAAAAAGGCGATTAATAACACCAAATATCATCAAAGTGCGGGGGGAGTGGGACACACTTAGCAGTGTTGGTATAAGAAGGAATTAACTCGATTCCAGGTTTTAGTCCGTCTTACCCTACTATACTTATAGGAGCACTGAATCACAGACGGAGAGGGAGATGAACACTGGCCTCCTGTGCGTCTTTATGTGGCTTCAGTCAGGGCGATGTAGTTTTTAAACTAAGCCTCAGAGGATAGGAGCACTGGGATCAGTGAGATGATTAGTTCGTGCAAAAAGCTGGAACTCGCCCGTGCTTCTTCCCTTCAGGCATGGATATGCTATTGAGGAAAAGTTGACGATAATGAAGATAAAGAACAGAGGTTAGTGAGGTGAGAAGCGAGTATTCCAATCGGTCAGGATTAGCTATTCTCCGCATTTCAGCCTTTTTTATAGCTCAGTTCGGCTGATTTTATATATGATGACCTCGACTGTCAACTAGCTAAAGGTCGATGATGACCTTCAGGGTTATCAGCCACATGTGGTGTGTAAGGCTGAAGCGCACCTTTAAGCCTACAATCTGAACAAGAACCTTGAAAATTAGGAAAAAGGCAAATTGTAAGAAACGAGTGGAAACAATACGAACTGAAAAGCGACATAGTTTCTCTTCCAGACATAATTCAGAAAATGACAAAACGACTGGACCCTTCCTACAGACCAAGAGGCAGTCTTGAGCTGGATCTGTTCTCAAGGTTTCGACGATGCCCACAAGCCTTCGTCCGACTGAACAACAAAAAATCCTGTGAACAGTTTATATGCTAACCAAATAAAAGCAAGTGCAAAGGAAATACTTCAGATTCGCCCCTTAACATCAAAGGGACAAGTAACCGTTCAAACCGCCTACCGTATGCTTAGATTCGCAAGCTCCTTGGTTGGCCTCTCGCCAAGTACGATGCCGCAACGCGCGACAGCTGCGCGGCGGTTGTTGAGCGGATGGTGCGTGCTAATAGTTAACTCGGAGAAATCAATTCGTTTATTTGCATGCGTTTCGCCCCCGTAGCACTACTAATTATTGAGGCAATTAGTCGTGAATTCTCATCAGAGACACACAAATAGAGTTGTTCCCGATATCACAAAGGAGTTTTCAGGATCGTAACACATCGAGAACACGCAATACTCTCCTCTAAATTGCACCGTTGTCGGCTTATTATGGTTAACGATGACATAGCCCTTTCATCAAATTTACAATGAGCTTCCAAGAGTAAGTTTGCTTTTGCTGTTGCAGACCTTATTCGCTTGATTTTTTCATGGTTTTATCTCGACTTGTGTAGTATTTGTGTACCACTGCTGCATGAGTACAATATAGCACTAGGTTTCGAAGAAGTTCATAGTTTCTTTGTTTTGTTTGAAACTTGATGTCTTGTTGTTTTTTTGGATGCCGAAGAACCAATTCCCAAAACTTGATTACTCTTGTTTTTGATGAGTGCTTACGTTTGTCATTATGTTCTTGTTGCAGCGAGTTGCCGCCTCTGCTTCACTTGAAAATTGGCAAAGTATTAAAAGTTGTCCACTGTGAACTTTTTGATTGGAGTGCCGTAAAAAGAACCATTCTTTTGAAAGCCATTCAAGTGGCTTGTAAGGAATGTAGCAGTGAAATTAATGCTAGATTTGATTTCCTTCCAGGAACTGGAGTTAGGTGGTTTGTAAGGAATGTAAATAGTGTAATTGATAATGAATTTTAAAGTCCTAAAATCATATACCTATCAAAATGGATATCTGTTCTCTATGAATTCCCAATTATGTTAAGAATTTATTCTTTCTGACTTTTTCAAAGCGAATGTTCTCTTTAGGGAGGATGAATGGCTTGGCCTGGGCTCGGGGTTCGTGCTGGACGATGCATTCAAATGCACCAGCCCCCTCGGTGCCGACACCTCACTTCAGGTACGGTTCGAACCTTCTATAGATTTTTCTACCTTCATATGCATTTTCGGTTCTGCAGAATTTTTTTGTTTTCTATTTTTTCTTTTTTGCACATATAGCAATTTTGCTTTTGACGAAGATTCTGTTTGCAAGGTGCCTCTGCGAGAACCTTCTCCTATCGCGGTCTCACCACAAAATCTTATGGACTTCTCCTTCGGTGATAACTCTCTTGCAGTTCCAATGCGGGAATTCGGGGTACTTCTAACACTGCAATTTTTTTTGTATCCCATGTCTTTTATTCACTCATCTAAAAAAAGTTCATCTTCAGTTCCAAAGTGGAAATGATCCGCCACGGCTATCACCTGTTTCGTCGTCATATCAGTCCATGGCCCCTTTGCAGAACATGTCATATGAGATGTCAAGTGCATCTGTTATGCAGGTATCGCTTCAACAAATTTATATTTGAGCTTTGCCCCGTTGACCAAGTCCTTATAACTGTACATGTTGTTAGTTTTGTTGACATAATAATTAATCCTCAGCCAGCGGATCCCACAGCTTTATTTATACGAGGAAAACACATGTTAGAAAGTTTTACGAGGTTTTGTACAAGCTCACTCCTCACCATCGTAGTTTTTGTTTCTGTTCCAGGAGGAGTCGTATAATTCTTTTGAACAGCCTTCACTAGTTGTCAATGGTCATTACCAAACGATGGAGCAGCAAGTTATCCAACCTCAACAAGGATACTTTCAGGTGCCCAATATCTGCTTATCTTTCCTACTTTTTTGCATTAAAAATACTTTTTGATCACTGTTTAACATATACTTTCTTTTATGGTGACTTCTACTTATGTTATATGATTTTCATGTATTCATGTACTTTCTTTATGACTTGTTTCGTCACTACATTGTTTACTCATGATTTTTTTGTCGCCGTGATTCCTAATACAATCGAATTCCCGGTTTTTGGGTTTTAGGAATCAGTAATCTAATAGAAGACTAATATATCCTTACTGGTTAGCTCGACAAAGAGTGTGGACTGTTGTGTCCACCTGTTCCTGTGAACAAATGTTCTTAATTTAACTAATTTAGACTGTCTCTGATGCACCACCTCAACAGGTGATGACCACTTCCACTTCCCATCAGCAGCAGACGTCTTCCGGAGGAGTCAGCAATGCGTCGGGTTCATTGGTTCAACAAATACTTAGTGCACCGTCTACAAGGCAAACACCGACACCTCAACATAATCGTCAACGACCTATCCAACCAAAGACTCAGAATAATGGGCGGAAGAGAGGGTCAGGTAGGCAGATTCTGTAACTTATCTCTAGAATCGCTCTTTAAATTTGATTAAATTTGATCTCGGACCTTCTAGATGGGAGGAATCCTTTAGGTACAGTCCCTCGGTCATATGCAAGCTTCTTTTGCAAGTCAGAGTACCCACGGAATTGATAGGGAATTCGTGACCTTATTCTTTGCAATATTTCATTCGTTTCTCTTTCTGAAAATTCTATATCGGGTTGTCATAAATGCTCCCAAAGAGGTGTGATGCCCGTTTTTTCTTATGCCCCTGGACCAGAGCACCTTTAGTGACAATAAATGCCTCCTGGATTTTTTGGCTATTCCAGGGTTCACGTAACTAGTTCAGTGGGACAAGTACGGAAAGTTTCCTAATTTGGTCTCCAAATAGTCTTCCTATCAAGTTCGTCGTTAAAATAGATTTCATTGTCAAATTCCGTTGTAGTGAATTCGCATTCTGGCGCAAATAAGTCGACGAAAGTCGACTCTTCGTCTAACAATACGAACCAGACTGAAGTTCGATTCAGTATGTCTGCTTTAACGCGGGTTAGTGCTTTTCGCATAGAACTGTGTTAGATGCTCTTCTATTTGATTGCTTACGAACGGTGTTCAGATCACCGAGATCGGTGCAGAAATGGCTCAGCTGCAGGAACAACAAGAAAAGCTGGGAATTAACAACTCACAAAGGCTGAGCGAATTGCAGGCTCAACGAGCCAGTATACTGTACGAAGCTCTGAGTTCCCAAAAGTGAGGTTTTTGTCTGTTTCATTTATCATTGCTGCACTAAAGTGGACAATACTATCGTGTTATGCACTGTTGAGACCTTTTGTTGTGTTTCTGTTTCTAGTACCGATTTAACAAAGCCTCAAAATCTCACGGAAGGTTGCCCTTTCATCATTTCTCCTGAGCGGGTCGACGCTGCTGCGTCACCTGGTAATTGATCACAGTGGTAGGCGCGCGCGAAGCCTTCGATGGCCTTGATTGGATAGGAAATGCAACGAAAAAGGGCAAAATGCGGCCGGCTATCCTTGGTGATAATTGTTCTTACGGGCGAAGCGATAGATATCACTTGAAGATGTCTTCTTTAAGCGCGTACCATTGATTGAAAACACGTTGTACCTGTCTGGGGACTTTAAGTGTAACAAACACAAATGGTGGAGAACAAGAGTTCAACAGAAAACGAACGGTTTTGGGTGTTGGTTTCATTGGTCTTGCGGAACACTCGGAGGTATTTGTAAGAGGACATAGATTCCTAATTTGACGATATCGCCTGCAACTAAGCTTTTGATCTACGCTGTGCACGACTAGTAGTATATATATATATCATCAGAATAGATTGCATCAGATTTCTCTACACTAACGATTAATTACGAGCTAGTACTTTCTATCATGACATTCAGGTTTGTCCTAAAGTGAACTCAGCAGTCCTGCGGATTGTGCGTGTCGAATTTTTTTTTAGTAATCTTTGCAGGCGAAATGGACGTGTTTCTTTTAGCCTCAGAGTCTAAAAACTCTTTCGGATTTTTAAAAGATTTCAGATATTACCACTGTGATTGATTTACCACTGATTTGTCGCTAACCATGATTTTTTTAGCGTTGGTGAGACCGTGCTGAGTCAAGTGAAACAGGTTGCTGCTGCTGCTGCTGCTACCCCTCAACCACGGTCAACACCCCGCTCTCGAGCAAGTCATGCCAATCGGCAAACACATTTTGAGTCTGGTCAGGATTCCCCACAATATCAACCTCAGATGTATGTGGCCAGTCATAACCAGTACCCGAGCACGAGCACAGCACAGTAAGTTTTGTAGAATTACTTTCTGTGAGGCGACTTGCATTTGCTTTATTACTTTTATACATTTTTATTTATCTTGTTGTTGTATCGTTCTCTTATACCCTATTTCTCGTCTAGGTTTCAAGAATACTCCACCGGTAATGCTAATCAGGCTCAAGTTGTGCATCAACAGGAACAGCTCGGTGGACGGCATCAAAACCAACAGCGGACCTTCAGAGTGAGTATTTCTTATCTGCTGATGAGCTCTGTTTGTCGTTGAATAATGTATATTTCAGACTCAGAATGCTACCACTACAGTATATCACGCACCTGCTCAGCTGCCACCGGGTACTGTATATGTGCAGAATGTGCCGCAAGCGGCTCAGGCTCAATTTACATCAGCTCAGCCAACAGTCGGAGAAGTTGTGCGGCAGCAGCATCAGGTTAGAGAATCTAGAAAAGTTTGTTTCTTTTACGGGTTTGGTTCTCTTTGTGTGATCTTTATTTGTTGGAGCGGAAACTTTAATGTAATTAGTTGTTTTTCTTAAGTTTCTATTACCAATCTCACCCAACGCTTCATTTTCAATTAGCTATGACCCATGTTTGCACTACGTAATTGTGGCATACTCATAGCATTTTATCCCACTGTTATTTCTTAAAAATCGAGCCTAAAAAATTACCGAAAGTAGTACCGAAATTGCTTCACGTTGCTGTTTTCCTTTTGACTGTTTTGTAGTAGTCTTTCCATTCCATCCAAAAACGACTAAACGAACAATTGATTAAGAACTATAGATGAACATGTAGTGGGGAGGGGGTTCGGGCACCCATCACAATGCTGGTATATCAAGAAGTGATGTTGTGTTAATCCTTGTTAACCCATTGACGACCTTGCTGTCCACATGTACACTGCAGTTGTATTTTTTGTTTTATTCATCTAAATTTCCTTTTTCTTTCAATTCTTCTTCTCAAAACATTACATCAGGCCTAGATGAAGCTACATACAGCGTGGTCCTAGAAAATCTTCCAATTTTGCAATTGTAAAGGTGTTTTTTTTTTTTTTTTGAAGGAGTACATTGCCTTGGTGAATTTTTCCTCCGTTGAACAACTTCAAGAAATGAGATATTCTGAAAAGACGGTCGTCATTAGCAGTCCCAAATGCAAAGCTCGTAAAAATTCCCGAAATGATTTCTGGTAATGATTAAGCACTGTATCGGTGACTGAGAGGAGGATCGGATCCGGCCGGTTTTGCGGTATTATGTGGTTTCAGCCAGGGGAAATTGTTTTCAAACTAAGCCCTAGCAGGGTAGGAGCACCTGGATGGGATGACTACCTTGCGAACAGCTAGAAACTCGTCCACCCCATGCTCCTTCTCCGCTTAAAATTTGGCTTTATTAAAAAGTTGCATGTCCTCAGTGCAATACGGAATAAATCGTAACGCTGACTTCATTTCTTGATAAACTAACATTGAGATGGGTGCCCCTCCCCTCTTCCAGCTTCATTTTCACCAATATTAGAGAGTGAGCGAAATATTTGTTTTATCACTCACGGAAACATAACGGGCAAGGTCATCATGATCTTTTCCAGTTGCGGCATGTTTCCGGAGCTCAGCAGGTCATTGTCCAACAAGTAGCAGCGGCCCCACAAGTTGTAGTGGCCACTGGTGGTCAATCTGTCGCTGGCGCTCAAATTCGATCCCAAATCGTGCAGCAGTCACCTCTTCCTGCTCAAATTGTTCTTGCCCCACCTGTTCAGCAATCTCCTCAAGTGGTGCGTTGTTCTTTGATTTTTGATACTTGGTCAAATTTTACATTGCTCTTAGGTGGTTGTTGCTCATCGAGCATCACCGGCTCAAGCTGCTAAACGTTTAGAAGAGAAAAGAGTAAGTCGACTGAGTCGGTAAGTCTTTATTTGCCACGCGAATTGATTTTTCTTTGCTTCATTTATTGTGTGGTTTTCATGTAACTGGAAAAATAATGTGAGTTTTTTGCAGGCTGCGAAACTATTTCGATAGTTTGCATGCGTCGCTGGCTAATCCGGACACTGAGACTCCATTCACTGATCTTCGCGATGTAATGCAACGGTTACTGCCGTATCATGCGTATGGAGAACCGAATTTTAGCGAAGAGCATCTTGAACAGTGTAAGTAGGAGTTTCCTGTTTATTGAATTTCCTTCGCCTTCCACCTTCTTTTCTGTAAGCCTATTTTGTTACTCATGGTCAACCTCTAATCTTTCGAAGCAATCCTTCGATCATTGCTGAGCTGCATTTATTTACAAATTTTCAGTTGATACAAATTATATGCGAACCAACATTAATTTACACGAACAGAGGAAGCGTCTAGAAAAGCGATTGCGAAAGGTGTTCTATGATGAGGCCTTGGTTCGTTGTTGTTTTTGTGTATGTACGTAGTATCGGCAATGGTTTGAATAAACTTGTACTTCAGAATGGTACTGAAGCTGAAGAACGGAATCTATTGCTCTTCCTTGATGGTGAATATACAAAGCGAAAGCTAGAGGAAGAGAAGGAGTACGTGAAGCAAGGAAATATTGGTTAGTTGCAATGTTTACGCATGTTCGGCAATTCTCCTTAACGTTTTCTGACCTATTATTTTTCCACGTATCTCTTCATTGATGGCTTTGTTCCTGGCGTATACCGTTTTCATATCTTCATTTGGCAACGTAGAATTTTTGTGCCCATCATGCGTGCTAGGACGTTTTTACGCCAGTGATTGAGCCGTTTTGCTTTTTTAATTTGCTTTTTCGGTATCCCAATTTCATGTTTGAGATTATTTTTGCTTTTTTCACTCTCGTACACTCTTCATTTCAAGACCCATATTATAGTGAGTACCATACTTTTTTCTTTCCAGAGGCGTTCGTTCGCGATAGTGCCATAGTAGCTGCGTTGCGTGGTACTGATTATGAAGCAGTCGAGAAGCCAAAACCGGCAACCCCTTCGATGAAACCATCTAGCTCGAAATCCATCATGCAGCAATATGAATATCACACATTTGATGAAACTCCTCGAGTGGTCTCACCGTACAAGTCGCCATCACCTTTCAAGTCGCCTGCAAGTAGTATTCGGTCAGTGATCGGAAAAGTGTTGTGATGATAAGGCTTTTCCTTCAGCTTTCCTCTCTTTACATACCATTGTATTTGTATTTGTATTTTTCTGGCGTGAAATTTCAGTTTATTTGGTTACTTGCAGGTCGCCCTCACCCTGTAAGTCACCATCTTCCATAGCGTATTCGCCCCGTGTTCGAGCCAGGAATTCTTCGCAGTCCATACACATGTCTCCAGCTCCGGTTCAGGAACAGGCACGGGCTCGCACGTATTCTAAATCACGCACGATTTCGGAGTCTTCGTACGTTGTTTGACTCGTTAGGATTGAGATTTGCTAGCCTTCATTCATCTTGTTAGTATGTGCAGCTCAAAAAGATCAACTTCTTCTCTCTGAAAACTTTTTTATTCAGCAGATCCGATAAGAGCGAGGTGCGAAGAACTCCTCTGCCACCTCCGCTTCCATGTGCTGCGCGTAGGAGCACCCCACTGAGGTTTGTTATCAAAGTGTTTTTCTTTCGTTTTGTTTTTTACTCTTGTGATGGCGTAATTTCTGTCGATAGTATTCTCAGTTTAAATGTATATCTAAAGTTATCTCAGATGTGTCTCGTTTATTCAGAAGAGCAGTCGACAAAGATTCTTCAAAGAGCTCACCCATGGCACCATCTTCCGTGACGTCTGCTCCGGGAACACCTGCTTCTGTGACATCGGGTCCCATGACGCCTGCTTCTGCAACCACAGCTTCCACGATTCCCTTGCCAAAAGTACCTTCTCCTGTTGAAACTGCTCCTGAAGTACCAGTTCCCGAGGCTGTTTCTAAGAGAACAGCTCCCGCTGCGCCGGTGGGGCACGCTCATGCAAGGCCTGCCTCCTCTCTTCCAGTTAAGTCGGCGACGTCACGCGGGTCTGAGAGAGAAAAGGAGGTGCTGGATTCGCCCACAGCTGTTACGACTCTGGGACGTTTACCAGCAAAGAAGGAATTGCTCTGCCGTGCAAGACAAGGGGTTCCAGCCGAAATGCGCTCTCCACCTGCTCATACCAGCATTGCAACATCATTACTGTACAATCGCAACTCGTTGGAAGATGAAGACTCAGAAGGATCGGCATCGCCGGAGCTTGGAATCGATGATGTAATTCCTCTGCCTTCGTCACAGCAACCACAGCCTCCTGTCCCTAAAATTAACGCGCATCCTACACAAAGCAAACCTGTACCTGTACCACCACCACCACCGCCGAGACTACCTCCTCAAAAGGGTGTTGTTCCACTGCCACCACCGTTGCCTCAAAGGAGAGAGGTTGGTTTGCGATGGTTATAATTGAGTGCGCGTTGTTGACACCAATACTTCATTACAGAAGCTAGTCGTGCCACCGGAACGAACCTCTTCTCCGTCAGTGAAGCAGGAGAATGTTAAACCTTCAGGAAAGTCGTCAGTCGAAGACAGGCCTGCCGAGCGTTTCCGATTTAAGCCTCAGGTAAAGATATACGGAGAAGAGCGATATACATCTGCATCATACTTTTTGTTTTCACATATTCTAATTGTTAACCGTAGCTTTTTTGCATGCACAAACAATTTATGTTCTGAAAGTGCTGCACCGTAATGTTTTTAGCTTGTTCCCCTTTTCTATGGAACGAATGAGGTGTTCCTTGACAAAGGATATGATACTCGATTTTTTTCTCGGTTCACAATTTATGTCGATCGAATCTCTCGAGCTCTCCTTTGCTTCGCAGTTGTTCTTCATTTGCATCGTTCTTTGAATTTCTTGGATCTCTGTTTTCTGTGGGCTTTTTTCTGGGCGAATTATTTCTACTCTTTCAACGACTCCTCGAACCTTACATACCACAGTCCATTGCAATGTGTCAAAATTTAGGCAGTACTGTTTTCTAGAGACCAAAACTTTCACCCTTCTCCTTGAAACTGTTTCATTGCACATCTACACCCTCTTTCACTTGAATCTGTTTTTCTACTTCAGCTTCAATCCCCTTTTGTTTTAGGTACCACGTCCAACTCCCGTATCGCCACTCAAACCAACAGTCTCTAAACGTGAACAACCGGCTGACTCCGGGCTTATGGGCAAGGACGTCAACTGCATTAATCACCACGCAGAGGAGAAAGTTCAGGTTTGTGTGTGATATGCTTAAAGATATATCGACCTCAGTACTAAAAACATTCAACATTCAGATGCCCAACTGTGTGAAGCCTCCTCCTATAAGGTTAAAATTGAAATTGAGTGGAAAAGAAGTTTATATAGAAAACAACGAAAACAGTGTAAAAGAGGGTGAAAAGAAGCATAGGAAGCACAAGAAGAAAAAGAAGGAACGACATAAAGAGCACATTGGAAGTGTGAAACATCTAAAGGAGAAGCTGCGGTCGAAAGGGCACAGAAAATTGCAGAGCAAGAAGGAGAAACACGAGGCATCACCTCAGGTACCTAAGGAGATTCCAACTTTTCCTTTTATTTGTTATGTCTTCAATTTTTGGTTCATGTTTTCTTGCAGGAGCTGGTAGCTGTAACTTCAAATGGTGTCCGAATGAAGCTGAAATTCGGTGTAGGGGCGAACTGTGCAGGTCCATCTGCTCCAGTACGCACTTCGTTGTCGTCAAGCGAATCAAAAGAAGCGCAGGTGAAGCAGAAAGTGGTGGAGTCAAAGCCTTCCACTTCGAAAGCGACAGCCCCGGTAATTATTTTTTGAGAAATTATACGTCATACAGGTCCAGCAGTAAGGGTGGAGTTAAAATTGTTATCACAGCTTGTTGAGAGTAATTAATTGATAGTGAAATATTTACAGTAAAATGCAAAGCTCATGCGTAGTAACTTCTCGTCTTTCATGTCCTCTGCATAATTAACTGTCTTTCTTTTTTTCTTTTTTATTTATTTTTATGTTCTCCTATCGGGTCTTCATTGACATTAGATGAAAGCCGTTCATGCTGGTCGTTAACCATGATCACTTCTGTGAAGGATTTGCTTAGGTTTTTAATACATAGCGCGGAAAGATGTAAAATTTCAATTCTTTGAAGCCGTGAGGTCTACACCCATTGTTGTCTGTCTTAGAATGAAACGGTGAGGATACCACGACTCAAGATACGTATTGGCCCTGAAGCACCTGCTTTGGTAATCGCACCTCCGGATGTGAAATCTGCATCAAGTTCACGGGCGGTCCAGTCGCCAAGTACTCCTTCAATAGGGAAAGCAGCAAGGAGGTCGAAATCACCACCTGCACTCACTGCTGCGACAGTGCCGTCGGATACTTTAGCTGTCGAGTTTTCCGGTGAGTTACATGTTTAACTTTTCTCACTGCATTCTCATTCACCAGTTTCCGGCTTTCCTTGGAAGATATTTTGTTGCATTAAGATGATTCCGACACGGAAGCTGAACGGCTGCGGTGTGCTACTGATAAGGCTCTCCGTGGAATGTCCAACCTACCAGGAATGGCTCGATCAAATACGTCGGTACTACCGTGGTCAACGCAGCAGGCACCGTGACCATCCCCGATGAAGGATCATAGTGCTAGGAATCGATGTGAGAAATTGAACATCGTTCCTTCCGTATTGAATGCGTCCAAAGCTCCTACGGTTTCCCATAGCGTTGACGTAGTAGAAAGCACGCCAAACCAGTTGTAAGCTATTCATATGTAGCTCCTCTTGTCATGCACATACATCCTCGTTTACTCGGTGCCTAGAAATTGTGATATGTCCCTCTAATTATGTTGCGCGAACCTTCTGCATTAGCGTGTCAAAATGTTAGATTCTCGATATTGATGGTGCTGTAGACCGTACTAGTTACTAGAAGGACGTTAGCGACATAAAACTCTGAATATTGCCTTTATGCAACTTCTCTCTTCCTTGCATCCTTTCGTCTTCGCGCAGCTTGTCATCAAACAAATGGTTCTTAGAGATTTCCACGATACTGACCATATATCTGGTGATACTTCTGAGCTCGCGTTTCAAAGCCAGATTGGATTCAGCTCCCTCTGCAAGTGTTTCGCTTTCAGTGTTTAAGAAATAATTTATTATTTTATGGGAACAGAGCTGTAATCGTTTCGGAAACTTAGTCGTAACTCGTCCAAGGTGAACAGGATGCCAACTTATTGGTTATATGGGTTCTATCTATTTTGGCAGGGGGCGCCTAGTCGTGAAAAAGAGTATAACCATTACATCACCATGAAACGGAATAGCCGATAAACAGATTGGCCGAGGCATATGGCTCCATACGACGGCTATGCGCACATTGAATCTGCTCTTGGTGAACACGCGTGGCTGCGGCCCATAGACTGAGGCCAATGCTTGTAATTTGCAGTTTAGTAAAGTATTATATATTTCTATGGACAAGATTTTGTCACTCAATGCCCAAAGACATATTAGCGTAGGAGGACTGTTGTGAGATCGATTTGCGCGGTTTCAGTTTGATCCTAGAATATATGGTTATTATAGTGGTTCTTTTGCTCATGTCACTTACTCGTCTTGTGGTAACACATCCAAATGATTCGCGCCTCTCTGTTCATTTAATCTCGTCGTTTTCCTTACTCATCTCCCTTTTATATATTGCTTGGTAAATTCAGCCCAAGTGTCCCTCCAATTCAAAAGCTGCTATTGATCACACTTCAAACTGATTTCATAACCAGTTACCCTTCATCGTGGCCAGATATGAATCTGATTATCATTATTACTCTTACCTACAGATATTCGTTTACTATTTTGTCAGTGCTGTTCATCGATCTCAAAGCCAGTCTTCGGCACCTAATGCATAGTATCCGAAGTTTTCGTTTTTAATTTTGTTCTATGCACAGATTATATTTGCAGCTTGTGTTTTACGTCGTAGTAGCTGTTCTTTCCTCTAGTTCTCTCGTCATGTTATTTCCAATTATGAATTGTCGCCAATTCGTATTTATGCGTGTGTGTTTAGAAACAAAGTCAGTCATTCGATACTTTCATTCCCTGCTACATGTAACTCAATAATTAATAGGTAGTACTAGCAGCTATTTCGACATTCAAATCCCAACCACATGACGCGTCGCTCTATCCCTCATCATCGTGTACGTACTGCATTTTTTATTTCTAGTTCTCCGGTTTATCGTGCATCTTTCTGGATAGCCAGCGCCATAGTGATATCACTGGTGGTCGTTAGAGTATCAGTATAAGTACGTGCGTGTGAGTTTTCCTCTGTATCTGAAAGCTCCCCGGATCAAAGCGTTCTCTTGATCTGTATAACTTGACATTGTGATCTTTTTTATTGTCGTTTTGAAAATATTTTGTTTGTTTGTAAAAAGAATTTAAGTGATATGAATGGCACGTCAATTGATTGCGACAAATTATTATGTATTATAAATGCGATATAAATTTTTTCATGAAAGGTCTATGTTGGTGTGTAGGGTGACGCTGGCTGTTGAAAAGTATTTGACTGCTGAACTACCTTGTAGACATTGCTGTCGTGCGTACCCTTTCAACCGTGCTTCCGGCAGTAGTCGCCTATTTCCCCTTTGCGTCATCGAAAAGTAAAGCAACTTGTAGATTAGAAGAAAGCTCATCTGCGTTAAAACAGGTGTTTAACATACGGAAGAAAAGCAACGGAAACCATAACTAGATGTACCCTTTAGTGGTACGTCAGTGATCTCTAAGGTGGTACCAGAAGCGTACTTTAGCTCACACATGAAACCCAGAAAAAGTTGGAACAAAGAAATCTTTCCAATATCTCTGAGTTCACTCTCAGTAACTAGTTTCTCTATGTTCATATATGTTATTAGTCTGAATACTCAGCATAGAGTGACCCTTGTTCTTACAAGCACCGTCTGCTGTAAGCAGTTTAATGAGCGTAAATACTCTCGACATTTAATTCGGACCTTTCTACATATAGTCAAAAAAACTTCTCTATCTGAACGTCGATTATACGAAGAACAGAGTGGCCAAACATACCCAGATCAATGATATTTTTGAGAATATTGCGGAAGCAAAAAGAAAAGAAATAGGTAATTCGATCCTCACCAATTCTACACTTCAAGCTCGTTTGTTGTTTATAGTACGGTTTACAAGTTGTTCCGTAATGAAATGACTTATGAAACCTATAGTAGAGCTTAGTAATTCTACCATTCCGTATAGTGAATCGGAACTATCTTATTTATTCACAATCTTATCGTAACAGCCAGTCCCGCATTTGATGGATTGCTACCGAATGGTCCGCCTTTGGGATGCGCCACACATTCGGATTCCATTCAAAATCGTATTGGGTCTTGAGTGCGTTCAACCCAACTTATAGGAAAGATGACTTCATCGATAAGCCTTTTTTGAGTACGACGGCAAATTTGATTCTTTTGGAGTTGACCTCAATCAGAATCATTCTGATGACCAGTGTGGTCTCGCTCGCCTCTTTGGAACGACCCTCTTCCTCTTAAGATTGGACAGGTCAAATTAATGCAAGGAATGCATCAGTCCAAAAATAATACAAAGCGAAGTAACTCAAAAACGTTGCTTCCAAGAATTGCCTATATACTGAGCCCGGCTTCGCCGTAGCCCTTGTTGTTGAGCAGCCTATATAGAGCAGACTAACTCAATTTTCGGACAGTGTGATTGTGAAATGACTTAGCTTTAGAGATCCGTAATAAGAGAATTACTTTATGGCGTCTACAATGGAATAGAATCATGGACGATGGAACGGGGCGTAATTAGCGCAGTGATTAGACCGACCGACCAGACACGACACCTATTAAGGTCGAATTTCTCTTTCGTTAATCGGGTTCTTCATTAATACATCGGGTTCTTCATTAATACGGGATCGGATGACTGAATATGAGCTGGCTTAGGAGGGGAACAATATCAAACTGGAAATCGAGTGCATGGCGCTTCTTATAAAAGTGCTCACCAATGGCACCCCGAAGGTGAAGAATACAGGCAACTTTGGATGTAGGAAACTCCTAACATACTATACAATTGAATTTTGATAAGAAAAAGTAAACGGAGGACTCTCAAAATAAAATCCTGGAAGGAAGAAAGACCGTTCAGAGAAACCTGTCATGTTGCAAGCGCAATTTCTAGGAGTTGAATTATCAAACTAAGCTTAATGGCGTGACATTGGCATTACACCATTTCCATATTTTCTCTTAGTAGAAGTGGAAAAAGCTAGTGTCGAGTGTGTGGCTGCTTCAGATGGAAAATAATACTGGTATTAAAAGCATAGTTGTTGGAAACTTTTTAAATAAGTGCATCCAATCATAGAAAGAGTGGATGAAACCCATTAGGTCAACAATGGTTAATGTTCATGTTCACCCAAAAGGTTTGTCATTTGGTGCTCGCTACAAGCCGTAAACAAATACGCACGTAAAGCGGCATAACAAACTTGAAGGACGCAGCCCTACGATAGTGAGGCGGTCCCGGAGCGAAGCATTTGCTACAGTACAGTTTTCTGCAAAAGAGTTGAGGACATTTCTTTTGATTACCCAAAGGATTTTATCGAATTTGGCTGTTTCTTTTGTGTGCCCGTTAATTTTTTTGAGAAAGTTGATTTGTAATAGACGTTGTTTACTTACTGCATCTTTTTCATGACGTACTGCACGTATTGCGGCGGTTTCCGAATTTGTTTTGCGTACCCGTCAATTTATTTGTTAATATTGATGTTCCAGTAATTTGCCATAATAGCTCTCTAGAACGCACCCCCGTGCGATCAACTTTATTATTCTCTCCTTACAAATTCGTATACTGTTTATTTTGAGCTTTAATCTTGGAAACCATTCCTTCTAGTTAATGCTTGCTTTTTTATAGAACCTGGGAAGCCAGCATGGCTGAACAAGTAGAGAGGGCATTTCTGAAGCAACCAACGATCAACCTTAATAATAAGGCTCGTATATTGGCCGGCAACAAAAAAGTTCCTCGATATGTTCGCAACATTGGGCTTGGTTTCAAGACTCCACAAGAGGTGACATCATCTGGAAAGCTCGAATTTCTCCTGATTATTGTTGCAGTTTTAACATTAGAGTTGTTTAGGCTAGCCAAGGTACATACATCGACAAGAAATGCCCTTGGACTGGCAATTGCTCAATCCGCGGGAACATTTTGACTGGTGTAGTCTTGAAGAATAAGATGACAAGGACTATAATAGTTCGTCGTGACTATCTCCATTTCGTTAAAAAGTATCGCCGTTTCGAGAAGCGTCACAAGAATGTTCCAGCTCACTGCTCACCAGCATTCCGGTCAGTGCAATCGTTTTATTTTTTCCTTTTCCTTCCTTGATACTTCAACTTACATTTATAAATTACATTACACACATTACGTTTGTTTGCTTATCGTTTCAGTTTGTTGGTTTTTTTTTGGTGAACATTTTTTATAACATCGTAGTAAACTTCTATGTCCATTGACCCAAACTCGATCTACTCATTATTTTTTGGCAGCGGTTCTTGGTGTAAACAGAAGCGTAATAGCGATTTGGCTTGGGTCTGTACTCACTTTTGAAGGGTGAAATCGCGGCTTTGGGATGGTTTCTTCATAACCCGTTCTCAGTCGTTTCGTAGACCCCTGAAGCAGATGTACAGGCTGAGTCAGATGTGTAACTTACCACTAGGTATCACTTAAACGCAGTCTACTTACAACGAATCATTGTGTATCGTTGTTTCGTCTCAAGCTCGAGTTAACTCAAAGAGATTCGGAAACGGTACTGCTCTCTAATCGTTTTGTTTAAAATTTTCAGTGGGAGAAGTAGCTTGAAAGTTATACTTTGGCCTTAGTAAGCTGTTTCTTGTAAAACAAATTCTTATGTGTGCCTTCTGGACCATCTCAGGGTTATACAGATTCAATGGTACATTTTTCTTTACTTTATGATGATCTTAAGTGAAACACAAAAAATGTTCTATCTTCGAAAAATCACAGAAATATTGATGGAACTCGTTGTGCAACGTGAAACATTCCTGCCCTCGATTACAGGAATTGAGTAAGAACAGTTTAGCTCCTTCTTTGCACCTGTCACTCTCTTTGGCAACAGAAGGCAACTTCTTCCAAAAATGTCATTATTTTAAAACTGATTCGATAAGTGGGCTCCTCTCCTCAAATGATAGCACAGCAATTCGATCATTACCTTTCTTTGAAACTTCTTTCCTTAAGTACAAAATTAAGCAATAGCTGCTTCTCGAATTCTGAAGCTTGCATTAGGAACTGTCTAATTGATTTTACTCATTGAATTGCTTTCAGAGACATTGCTCCTGGAGATTTGGTCACCATTGGAGAATGCCGTCCTCTCTCCAAAACTGTTCGATTCAATGTCTTGAAAGTAAACAAAGCCGGATCAACAAAGAAAGGATTTGCCAAGTTTTAATGTACCATCCTTGTTGTTTGTTGTTAAAGCACTTCCCTCGTGACTCGTAATTTTTTGGATTGTTGGGTCTTGAGAATGAAGTCTATTATTATAATGTTTGTGATACTCTATGCGTTTTACTGTACGCTGTCGATTTGATATCTGATTAAATGTCTGGGGAATGAAGGTAAGGCATTCTGTACAGCAAAGTGATGAATGTTTTGTTCCTTGCAAGGAGTTGACCGATTTCGTGATTTTAAAACATTTACTTTCAAATGCTCTCTTTTTGGACGGACGGCATTGGTTAGTGTTTGGTTGAAGGGATCTAACAAATGTCAGTGATGTTCTTGCATAGCTCGAACTGAAAAAAAGAGTCAATCAGGGTGGTACTCGCTGTTGTAGTCAGTGCAGTAGAAGAAAGGTTGAATGATCCACCTTAAGTTCCTTCTGTTATGGAGTCGTGAATGGACGTTTCCATCTTTTGAAGTTGGAGGTTCTTTCCTAACCATCATTCACGGTGAATCTTCAAGGTTTTCCGTTTTTGTTGGTAGGCACTAAAGTGTGTCTCAGGGCTTGATGTAGCCTGTCCGTGCTAATCGATGTACCGCAAGAAGTGAAGATATTGGTTTCCCCTATAAGCTACCCTATGAGGGTGGTTGTTGAGAATCACCGTCTGAGGGCTCTATAGCTGAGTTGTTTTCTCGAGCTCTTCACGAATTTTGTATACTAGCTTTATTAGGCTGACGTCTTGGGAGTTCTCTGTTGTCCTTAGCTACTTGTAGAAAATGCAGCAGCGTTGTGTTTCTTTATTGCTCCGTCGTACCATATCATACTTTTTGAGATGATAGTTAGTTAGTAAAATGACCTTAGCACTATGTGGTAATTTTTTTTTATTGACAGAGTTGTTAGGTTTTTCAGACACTTCATTCTAGCTGTACATAGATTTGTTGATTCGTAAAGCGGGTTTTTTTTACTGGCGTCACTTCAAGAATGGCAATAGTTTTCTCAGAGGACGACCGAAGTTTTTTCAACAAGTTTACGGTACGTTTTTATAATTTCTGTGAAATCGAAACCTGTTACTGACCGCGATATATTCAATTTCTGAGAAAACTGTAGAAATGCAAAAGCATCGTGCTTAATCAAGGGACCCCCTGACCAGCCGAAACACTCATTTTCAGAGTGCACGGAACGGGGACCACATCAATGATGACATGTTGGAAGACGTTCATAATGTCTTATCGAACAAGGAGGTGACTTCTATTCGTTTGATTGTTTTGCGTAAAATATCCGTTTTTTTTTTTTGGAGTCGATGTATTCACTGTAGATCCCATGAGCACTTTTTCGATTCATGGTAAAAGTTCTCTTCTATCCGTGTCCTTCTTAAGTTTTCTCATGCAACAAGGCTCGCTGCAGCGAAACTTCTGGTGCATTTTACGAATGCAAGTCATGGAGAATGTACACGTCATCCTTCAGTAGACTGGGTAATATTAACAGCAATGCTCGAAATGGCCAATCCAGAACGTTTAACGGAAATAGTGAGAGCGTGGATGGTCTGCTTTAGAAAACGTCGAATAGGGTGAGTTGAGATATGCAATGAAGTCTTGAACTACTCTTCCTTAAATTTTTCAAGCGACTTTCCTCCCTCAGAATTGTTAATTCAGCGATTCTGAAGATGAGGCGATGTTCCTGGCCGCGTTAGCCCGGATTTTGCCGAAGAAGGGCTTGTGCTTGAGGGAAAGTCTTTCGGAGAAAGAATTGAATTTGCTTCATAGGTAAGTGTGCTGCCATAAATAATTAGAGAAACTCGAAAATTGCCAAATGACAAGTTGATCGCTCAGAGGACGGGTGCACATCTTAAGAATAGCTAGTGATTAGCTTTTTCTCACCACACCACAGGTCGCGTAATGTGCTGAATCCCAGGTGGTGAACGGAAGGCTTATTGTTCCGCTGACAGGAATAGTGACTCGTTGTTTCGTAGTTTGTGCTCTATTGTTCTGCCTACCTGAGGAAACTAGGAATGCCGAAAGTCCCAACCATAGTGCCAATATCCACGATTTTCCAGAGAATCCATTAAAGAGGAACAGTTACATTTAACTGCCCTCATTTCGGAATTAGGTCAACTTCGTTTTCATGTATATATATTCTTAAACGCTGCAGTTTTTATTTTGCTTTATTCACATGACTTTCCATATTCACAAAGTTTACACACTTTCCAGGTATATAGTGTTAACATTTATCCTTTTTTCTGAATTGGATCGAGGATCAAAAATATTTGATGGTGCTGTGCTTTTTATTGTTAAAACAATGCCTCTGAATCCTCAGGTGGGGCGAATATCTACTAATACTCATTGTGTTAAGATCTAACTAGCTCTAGGTGAACTTTCAACTAGTATCCCATTAGTTTTCAGCTTTTTGACTTTTGTGTTGAAAAACTCGACCCAGATCTTCGCGGTAAATATGGTATTATCAAAGTATTCCTTCGAGAAATTATTCCGACACAGCGTGATGAAGTGATCAAGGTAATAGTAGCTGTAACTGTAGGTTACTGCTATTGTTTCGCGATTTGACAATATTATTCCCTAAACATATTCTATTAAGAGCGATGAATTTATCAAAACGATCTGTGATCAGCTGACGAGTATACTCGCCAGCCAATTGATTACAAATTCAGCCTCAGGCTTAGTGGCGACTTTGGTATCTTTATTCCCAACGTCAGCTCCTCTTCAGGCCTTGTTCGCCAAAAATATGGTGCATCATACAAAGTTCGTTTTTGAATGTTCAGCATTGCTGAGTATTGCGTATATGCTTTTTGGCTTAATGATCCACTAAGATTTTCTGTAGCTTGTTGATATTGGGTGGGTTAGGCTTTTTGTGCTACAGTTGAGGTAGTAGCTCTGCTACGCGCCCTCAAACTCCACGAGGTGCTTGCGTAGGTGCTTAAGCTACAGCTGTGATTTACTTCTTATTCATTGCAGGTGCATACGCTCAAATATTTTGCGTTGGTTTGGACGTTTTGAAGTGACGAAGGAGAGTTGCCAATTTTTGCTCGCTCTTCAACGCTCCATTCGTGAGTCTTTTCTCACTTCAGAAGATGACGTTTGGCCTCCGCGCGTTTGGGAAACAGAGGTATTCTTTTTTTCCAGGAGAGTTATGACACTAACGATCTTGTTCATATCATTTTTCGTGGTTGTGCTGCCGTACCTGATTCGCCTATTTATTGTTGGTCAAATGGAATGTATAGAAAATTTGTAATGTACTATCTGTTGTTGATTTCAGGATGTTTCGTGCATTGATCCAAGATGGGAGACTGAAGAGTCAGAAGATGTGTTATGGGAAGCTGACAGATTACTGGATGCTTATCTTAATGTGTCCAGCGTGGTTCAGCAGCGATATCGTCATGAGCTTGATAGCAAGGATCCAGTAAGTCAGTTAATAATCTCTCCATGAAAATGAGGAGACGGCTTCATTATTCAGCTCATCTACGCTGGACTTAAATGGCACCTTCCCGAGATTCGCCTGAGTGCATTCCGGCTGTGGATAGGGTGTTTAGGTAAAGAGGTGGTGGAACCCGAAAGTAATCGTTTTTTAGGTGAATTTCTATAGTTGTTCATACTTCGCTACCGGGCAAATAACTTTTTTTGTTTAGAAGAGTTTATCCTGAATAATGCTGCATCTTCTCTCACAAGTCTACGCCAAGCTGTTAAGGATGTTTCTAGTTACTGCACTATGACGCCGGAAGGCGAGGTCAAGTGGGAAGAACTGAGCAGAGCCATCCACGAGCGAGAGAAATTGGATGATGAGCAGGTAGTTTCTGCAGACCTTCCTCGGAGTTAGAGAACGAATTCGTTACTCCATTGCATGCTTTTTTCATTCAAGCGTGGAACCAGCTATTTGCCTGATGAACTGAGTGGAACGGAAGTGATGCCGCTCCCCTCTCCTCAGAGAGCTTCAGAGCGCCTGGAAGAGGTTTTACAGTTGTCTGGCTCTGTAAGCTCAAAATCGTGCCCGACATTTCCTCAACTTTACGAGAATCTGGCTAAAGCTGGTTGTGATCAGAGGGTCTATGCCAGATTTATCATTGTGCGTAACTTTTTACCAAGCATTAACGATCCTGTTTACTTCATAAGAAATTTGTTGTGAAATTTAGGAACTCATCAACTTGATAAAGTCACATAATGATGTGAAGACTGCGTTGGATGTGATTTCAAATGCAGTTATTAGATGTAGATTGAAGGTACTTAAATCGCTTTTCAACATTTGCTCACCGTCACGTTTGATTTCTGTAGTTTCTTTCGCTCTCTTGTGCTTATCATGCAGCAGCTGCAAGGTTTTTGTTTTTTCCATCATTACTTTTTTCTTGGGAAAATAATGTTAAGGTTGTTGTTGATCACGGCTGCAATGTCGTAGATGAAATTCTCTCCAGTCAACACTATGATGAACATTTTTTCTTCCTTGTCGAATATCGCTATTGTTGGGTGAGCCTTTAAAAGTATTGTTACTATACCCATCGCATCTCCATCATGTAAATTAAGGCTATGAATCACCTTATCGACCAGAAAACCGAATGTCGCACTCTACCTTTGTCACGCATTCTTTGGTCTGTGTGCGAGAAATCTAGAGATCTTCTGCAGATATGCTTTGAGGTATGCTCTCTCGCATGTATCGGTGTCAACGAGATAAGATTCCTCTGGATTCCAAAAAACTACAGGAATGGAGGTCGGAATAACTCTTTTTATGATTCCTTTAAATTTGCAGTCCTGTCGAACAACATTGAGCGAGCCATCTCTTGATGCGAAGGTCCATCAACGAGTGTTAAAAACTTTGAAATTATTTGCGTCGAAGGCGGATTGTAGTAAGTGTATCTAGCCTTTGAGACGGACTCTTTAGAGAAAACGAGTTTCACTAGTTTCTGTTTATTGAAGAAATGCCGAAAGACTTCGTGGAGTTTCTATTCTGGCATTGCGTGGATGTTCAAAAGCATAACGATTTTCTTGTGAGAAGTGCAGCAACGATATTATTCGGTGCGTTAATGTTCACAAAATTAAAAAAATTAGCCTTTGTTCCTAGAAATAATAGGGCTTGTGTGGTCCTTTCAATCCAACCTGTTTAGGTTTCGTAGTTCGATACATCACCAGAAGCCGTGTGGTACCAGCGTTTTATATTGTGGCGACAAGGGTGAAGTTTTGGCAAGAGGTTGGCGTCGGCTTGTTGGTTATTGCCGTGTGCTTTTTCATGTATGATATGTAACTGTGCAGATGGTGCGGAGATGTTCAACGCTACCAGCATTACTATCATGCCAGCGAATTCTACTTCTCAGTTTCCTCTCACGTTTCACTCTTGGCTGTATTGACTGCTATTCGACGTCCGTGCAACAGTAAGCTGTTAATCTAACCATGAAAAAGCATTTGGTTTTGGCCAGACTTAACGACAGTAAAAAGGGCTGCAGTGGCATTGCCAGAACAGCTCATCTAAAAAGAGTGTATGACAAAATCTACTCTACTAACAATAAGCAGTATGTAGTACTATATTAATAGTGAATTTTTTCGGAAATTTATATTTCCCAAAGTCTCAGCGTCGCAGCATGACATATTCTGAGCAGTATGTTATGTGTCATTTTTCAGGGATATTCGCTCATTACTGCAATCACTAATTGGGTTACTGAAGCACTCGCCTGATATAAGGGAACGACGCTTCTGCCTGGAGGTACTGGCGAATATGTCGCCCAAAGAAGCTCACGTGGAGTTGAAGGAGAGCATGAAGCATTTACAGCAATATCGGGATCAAGTCTCGAGTGCTGATTGCGATTTCCTGGCGTACATCATGAAGGTGTAAGATCTGTTATTTTCAATTGTTTCAAGCTTGTTGCTCAGATTTTTGTGCACAACTGCTACGATTGAACCAACCAGTAGATGACATCTTTAAATTACTAGTGCCCCAGTGTTGTTCGCTACCTCCAAAACCAATCAACTGAGGAGCATGCTCATTTAATTATCTTTTTCTTTGTTGAAGGAATGGTGATTCAGTGTTGTCTTTTGTCTTCATCTCTTAGCCGTCATTTTTCTCAGAATTGGTGAACCGTTCGACGTGATGGGTAATCGGGCAATCCCAGTCGATCTCTTACAGTCAAAGTATGTCCAGCTTATAGAGAGGTGCCGCACTGTGGATCCTCGCGAAGCTTTGAACGAAACGAAGAAAATGTACGTTTAGGAATTCAAATGAGATACTGTAAGTTAAACCTGTTCTTCTTTTCAGACTAGCCTGTGTGGAGTCACATTCAGCTGAGCTCACTCTGCAAGCGGTCGCTATGGCACTGTCCCAAATAGCGGTCCAACTGCGTGTAATGGGGTAAGTTCTTGGTAGATAGCAAGTCGGCGTTCTCTATTTTTCGTATAATTTCTCTTCATTTTCGTCGGTTGTCTTTCTTGATGTGATTAATTGTAAGTTAAATTTGTGGGTTAATTTTAGTGACGTTGACCCTTCTATTCGTTGCTCATTAGTATCTCAATGTTGTGCATTATTCGAAAACAAGTGGTGTACATCGCGAGTGATGTCCATACTGAGCAGAGTACCGGCTAACTTAGGTCTTACAAGGCTGTACTATCAGAAGTTCTACGTTTTACAGGTTCGTCCTCATAATAATTGGGGTTACATTATTCTTCTAACAACAAGGCCAGTCTCATTTCAGGTCCTAAAACAGTGGGAAAGCCATAAGATCGATTGAAAAACGAGTTCAAGTTGATCAGTTAGAAGGGGAATTCAAGTTTTAATTTAAGAAAACTGTTTATGTGACGGTACTCAGGGCTTTTAATTTTGGGTGCAGATTGATTGTATAGATTATGGCATTTGGTTTACTAGGTTGCTTTTTTTTTTGTTATTCTTGGTAAATCATTCATTTGTGGTGTATGTGATGATGCAGTGGCTCACTGTCCACTGAGTTTTATCTTTTTCTTTATTGAATTTCCTTTGTAAACAGGTGTATGCAGTGTTTCCAGAGGCTTGGTATGTTCAGATAGGTGCACACGACCAAAAGAAGTCGCTGTGTTGCTTACTCGCTTTGGCAATGCCTCAACTGAAACAGGTTCTACGAACTCTTTGAAAATGTCGTTGAACTACGCTCAAGCACTATCCCCTTATGAAAACAAAGGACAAGTTGGAATGCCAGAGGTTTGATCTATTTCTGATGAAGTACTGTACTAGTTGAACAAAGGGCAGGTGAAGTCTGAGAAACAAGCGGTCTTGTTTTTGTGAAGAGTGTGAGTGCCTAATCATTTATCTTTTATTTTGGTTCCGTGATTCATCAGAAGAACTTGGTGATAAGTGTGCCCAACTGGCTGATCTATTGCGGCAAAGTAAATGCACATTCGTAGTGACAGGAGCAGGTCAGTTTCTGAGTTAGGTCTTTTTCAGTCTATTCTAGCCCCTAGAGCTTTTCAGTATATGTACAGGTATTTCAACATCCGCTGGTATCGCCGATTTTCGCGGACCTAATGGTGTATGGACGATTGAGAAAGAAGGTCGCGTAGCAGAAAGTGTTGATTTTACCCGAGCTCGTCCGACGCTTACGCACCGTGCGCTTCGAATACTGGAAGAGCGAGGATTGATCAAGTAAATTTGTCGCTGAGGTAGTTCATTTCTTCGGCGGTTACCACTTTTTTCAGATTTCTAGTGTCGCAAAATGTTGATGGCTTGCATCCACGTTCGTCGTTTCCGTTGAATCGATTGGCTGAGCTTCATGGGAATGTTTTTTGCGAGCAATGTGAACGGTGCTCAAGGTCAAGGATGCCCACTCATTATTTGGCAAAAATGCCTCAACAAAGAATATAGGCCGCAGTGACATGAAAGATTTTTCAGACGCTACTATAGAGATTTCCCTACCGGAAGTGTCGGCTTGAAATATACGGGTCGAAATTGTGAGGGTACTCCGAAAGGTCGTGCATGTCGTGGACGACTCCGTGACACAACTCTGGACTGGGAAGATGCTCTGCCGGAGCCCGATTTCACTATAGCGTATAACTATGCAAAGGTAGGGGAACAGCAGCCTCCAGGAACAGTAAAGAGCTTGTTATGAACAGTTGGTTTTGAATCTCCGATCGTTTTCAGCACGCACATCTCTCTCTGTGTTTGGGAACGTCGCTGCAAATAGTGCCTGTTGGCGATATGCCACTTTTAGCGAAAAAGAACGGCGGAAAAATGGTGACTGTGAACTTGCAGGCAACTAAGCATGTAAGTTATCGATGATTTTTTAGATTATTTTTTCTTCTGTTCTGTCACATGTATTGCAGGAAAAGAAAACGGATTTGGCAATCCATGGCTTGGTAGACGATGTTATGATGCGCGTGTTGGGTCATCTGGGCATCAAGCTAGATGAGGATCTCAAAGAAAAGGAAGGTAAGTGGGATTCGTTACTCATATACATATATCGCATTACAAAAGGGAACTTGATGTCCAAATTTGCAGCTGTTTCAGGGATTGGAACGTTATGAGAATTTGATCTTTCCAGGATATTTTCTTTTGTAGAGATAGTATGGCAGTCGATCCACCCACTTGAGGAATTCAAAACAGCGCGAAAGCGCCCATCGAAGACGAAAAAAGAGGAGATCATCGAAGAGAAATGTCCGAAAATCGTAGAAGAAGCTCATGACGCAACCATCGATGCAGCTGCAGTGCAAGCTCCGGCAGATACTCAAGGAGAAACCGAATATCGGGAAGTAATAGGTTGATGAATGCTTTTTGTGCGTTTTCCTTTTGATTCACAAACACCTACATGTATGTACAGTTTCATGATAATCAAGTTGTATACCTCGTCTGTTCCTACAATACTGGTATGCTACCTACTGTGAGTTGAAGGACAGTGACGTCTTTTCGTTATTCACTGACTTGTTTTTACTCTTTTTTTATTCCCATTTTATGTACGTTCTCAATCTCTTGCTTGTTTAATTCATGTGTGACATGATTTTTCAAATCTTCAGAGGAGAGGCTAAGACAAGCTCATGGATCATGAAAAGTTAAACTTTTGGTGTTTTTACAGACTTGAAAATAAATTATGAAGAAATTTTGTTGATGTTTCCATTACATTATTTATTTTATTAACGCTCCGATTATTCATTACTTTTAGATCGGTTTGTGGTTTACCGTGCAGAAAGCGGAAGCTTCAAACCATATTTGTTCTCAATGCGAAGGTTTGTTTCAGGCGTCACTCTCACGCGCTTAGTCTAATGATCGAACACAGAGTCGATACGCGTCCAGAACATCCAAACTATCCAGGCGCTCCGTGTCGACCAGTTGATACGAGACTCTTACGGGAGGAATAATTCTGAATGGAAGAAGAACTAATGAAAGCATTCCTCAAGGGGTAGTTGCCAGGAATACTACGCTCTGTCAACCAATTGCTCCATCGTCAAAATAATGATTTCCGTTGCAGTAAATGACCAGGCATTTCATGGCGTTATTGAACAGCATCGACTTTATCCGTAACAGTTTTCGCTCATTGTTGCCTTCTCTTATCTTCCTGATAGTCGGGCTCACGACTCACTATTTGGAACTTTGGAAATCGATTGTTCAATTATTTTGATCAGTTTCCGCAAACTGCCACACAGTTCACGAGCAAAGTGGGGAGCGACCTTGCGAGATTACAGTATGACCTCAGACCGCACCTTCAGTTTGACCTACCCCGTTACAATGGATCGAATGAACACTTTTCGGACCCACCATTGTCTGCCTTATGCGAAAGTAAAATTTTACAATTTTATTGTATTCAGACCAACGAGTGCTCTCTGAAGACCAACGAGTGCTCTCTGAAAGCACCAGTAAACAACTGTATAACTGAGAACAATTTTGTACCGAAAGATTCGTTCTAATGAGAGATATCAACTGTTTAAAACAGTGTTAGCTCCACGCACACAAGTTGCGAACACAAATATTTATTCGCACGATTAACAACAAAACAATTCACGCGAAAAAAAAA